GTTTTTTCTATAATTGCATGTACATGTGCGTATCAGTTTGTACATGTATATACCTGGTACAGCTATATGGTATATACATGTACCTGAAGATGCTGGAATAGGCCATTACGATGTCATCGTTGTTGCTCACATTTGAAAAGTTACAAGACTACGTATGCAAAATCCCATGATAATCAAAATCTGTTTCATTATCTTTCAAGATATTGGTTTCAAGTATCAGTGTATTTACATAGGAATGATAGTATCTATCGATCATTATAATTCAACCCATTACGCAGACATTGATCTCAAGACGTTGAAACTTTATCACACCATTAGTGCGGGACTACTACGCTTAATGTTAATCTTCTTAAGTGCTAAGGATTATCTTATCAGTTTGCCGACTTTATTGAGATTTCATTTCCTGCTTTTATCAAATTCGCTTTTTCAGACATTTTATACAATAAAATATGGCTTATGCATCAGAACAAGGGAAACGAAATAGGAATCAATATGATATAGCTGGACATTTCTGACCTGGTCACGTGGGAGGGGTCAGAAAGCTGAGGTCAACTTTCTTGTGTCATTTTTAGAATGAAATATTTGGAAATGATTAATCTGCATTTGTAAATTAATTTATAATTGTTAAAAAATTTATATAGTATTTTGCTTTGCATGAATATAAAAATATTATTATAGGGAATTAGTATATACAAGCATGCATACCATGCAGATTTTGTTAATCCTCGATTCTCAAATATTTTCTCTATTTATTAAAAGATCGCACCTGCATTGTTCTTCTAATGAATTTCAATTATGCCGAGTTATTATTCTGTTATGATAAGAAATACCCATTGAACTGCATTGGAAGACACACAAATCAACAAAGAACCTTTGGTTTATTTAATAATGCGATACTGTTTGATAAAATACTTTAATAATCAATAACACCCTGTTTCTTTTATACTCAGACTAACAGAGTGTTCGATACACATGACTGATTAAAATGACACAATTTATGTATATACAAACTATTGATATATTTAAAAAACCGGTAGAATATGCCATTTATGCGTAGGGGTGGACAGCTTTGTTAGGTTCTATATGTAAAGTACCAAGTAGTGCTATTGAACTCCCATCAGTTGTAAAAAAAAATAAACTGAAAGGGTAGATTGAAGGGAGGGCAATGGGCAGTTTGGAATTACTGAGGGTTTCCAATTGGTTCCTGCATTATATTTATATAAATTTTAAATTATATAAATTCATGTCCCAATTTTTGACAAGAATGGAAAAGACGTATGTAAGATTCTCAGCTCACTATAATTATATACATTACCAGCGAAACCTGACCTTGGAATCGACTCCAGTTATAAATTCATTGGTGACATATACATACTTAATATACTTGTATACACTAGTACTGACTTGATTTTCATCAGTTGACCTTCCCAATGTTAAATATACTAACATCTGATTGACTGTGCCTAATTTAGATACCTTAGGTTGAAATAGAATTCTTTGAATTAATTATGAAGAAACCAAACTTAGTGTCATTAAATGCTTTCAACTTTTTAAAACTTTGTTATGACAATATATCAAAGATAGATCTCTGAGATATAAGGAATTTAGAGACTATTTATGAATTCTTTCAGGACAATCACGATCATAAATCCCCAACTGTGTCGAAAATTTCATGTTTCTCTTTCTGAAGAAGTAAAAATTCTATCCTCTACTTAGTCACCTTTTTCATCAAAGCCGAAACGGGTTGACATCAAACACGATGCTCATTTAATGCTTTCAACTTTTTAATATTTTGCTGACAATTAAAGTTGATATAACTTTGTTATGACAATATATGTTTAACAGTGTTTATAATGATCTAAAAAAAACTGCATTGATATAACTGTTGTAAATTTCGTGATCCATAGCATTACGGTCACCCAGTCTCCTAACAAACAGTACACATAGGCCTACATGCACCTGTGTCCGCAAGACCAATTTTAGCCATGGTCTACACACGTGCAATGGAGCTGTCACACGCATCCAGCGAGCTCTTTTGTTTTGCCGAGGACAATTTTCTTTTCTTAATTAGATCATATAAATACGAATTCTAATTAATAAAAATTATACAATCCCTGTTGAACTGTTTGTTCTAGATAAATTTTCATGTTGTCTCTTTTCTGAAAACATGGAAAACCTTTTTTGTAAAAACTGAAATATACTAATGTATTTGTCTTTACTTACATTATTCAAGTTCTATATATAATGGTATATGCTGAACTTCAACACGTTACCTTTTTACACAGTTTACAAAGTGTACACACGTGACACGAGCAGGCCAGTTGAAAATCCGTCATTTAATAATACACATACACGATGCTCATTTTTTCTTTATTTGTATGATAATTAACTTAAACATGTACTTAATACAATTGTTGATATAGTATTATCAATTCATCGGTATTATTCTCTGTTATCAAACATGTCTACAGGGAGATATTTTTTATTTGCATTTCGGGGGGAAAACCTCACGTTATTTTTGATTTCTTTATGACATACCAACTAAATACTTTGCCACAATATCTTGTATCCTGTTTAATATTTGAGCTGCCGCTGAAAACAGTTATATATCTTGCAAAGATAGTATGCATTGATCGAATATATGAAAATGACTCCCTAGCAGCTTGACCTTTGCTGTTTGGGAAATAATAAATGTTTCCCCACAGACGTCTGTGATCAGCATTATCGTCTATTTCTTAAAAAAGACTCGTTTATACCGTCTGCTTGTCATGTATAGGGTCAAGCTGAATAACTCAGAAAACCCGGAAATCAAGGACCCCTCCGATTGTTCTTTATTCATTATGTTTCCCCCCTTTGATTCACTGCCTCCTTCTGACTGCTTTATGAGTAATGTAATAACCAAAATTTACCATTAAAAAGATCCGGACATAAATTGCTTGTATCACCTGCTTTATGCGGAAATCGTGCAATTGGGCTGTAACGCAAAATTAGAGGAACTTAAATTCGAATGAAAAGGACTTTGATCCCCATTAACCATCAAGGAAAGCGCATATATGTACTATATTTGTCTTTTGTCTCTAGGGTCATAAACTTCAAGTGTATATTCATTTTTTTTACTTCCATACACTTAATTAAAGACTTTAGTTTTGAATTTTTAATTGTGCATTTAAAAGGATTTAAATATTTAACTTTTGGAAAATTTGCTCTCATGACAGAAAGGCACAATATAGTCTTTCATCAAAGTCATTTTAATAAAATAAAATATTTCCATAAAGATTCACAACCATTTTTCATTCTAGTGTAATAAATGATAAAATTGTGCAATATTTGCTATAAAATTGACATAAACATGACAAAAACGTTAAAAAGGCAATAAAAGATGCGCAAGTTCAAAAGCCATCTTTTGAAACTGAGGCTTGCGGTTATGACAAGGCTCATCTTGTAACCCCAGTAAATGCATATAACATCGAAATAATCTTAAATCCCCCGAGAACAAAAATTGATATTAATGAAGATATACACATTATAATGCATTTGCATTTTAGAATTATTAATTATGAGTGCATGTTTTTACACACGATGAGTCATAAGATGGAATATAATGTTCCTTTGATTGTACTCTATACGGAGATGACCAATAACTCAAGGCCAGCTATTTTTATATCTGGAAAAATGACCTTATAATCCCCGAACATTTCTATGTCCGCCATGTGTCACATCTAACAGAGAATCTTTTCATGTATTATACACTTCTTAGGATGGGCTTTTGAATGAAAAGGGCATTGTGTTCTCTCTCTCTCTCTCTCTCTCTCTCTCTCTCTCTCTCTCCATACAGTTCAATAAATTCAGTTTAATTATAATCAAATTATAATTATCAATTTGAATTGTATAGAGAAAGAATGCTTTTTCAATCAAAATCAAACCCTTTCTTTCTCTCTCTCTCTGTCTCTCTCCATACAATTTATAATCATAATTCAATGCATTATAAATCAAGATAATGTCCTTTTATGTTGCATGATATGAAATCGCTCCGTGACACGGGCTTACGATTATTGTGCTGGTCATGATATCTCCAAGTTAATTCACTGATAAGATCACAAGCTTTGTAATTACTAATTATTATCTATTAATTACAAATTTCCCATAATAAGAAATGTGGAATCATTCATGAATATATTAAAAATATTTTAACAAACAGGGACACTGCACATACACGACTGGTTACTTCTCAAAAATGAAGTGCGGTACCGCTCTAGTTTAACCGGGTTAAATATTTGTTATCTCTCGCTATATTGAGTAGGATTACCATTGAGCTATGAATGGAATGGAGACTCAATAGAAATGTTTACCTATATAAAACGAGAGCAAACATTGGTTTGTTGCTTCTGTAAAATGTCCCAGACAAAAACAAAAACAGGTAGAATTCTGACGACGGGACTTTACGAGGAATTATTGTTAAAGAATAAATAAATAAAGAACATGAATTTTATTGACGGATTGATCATCTTTAGTTTATCAATCCTCTAGAATTTAATTCAGAACATTCTTAAAGAAAAATACGCAAGTTCTTCTGGCTGCCACATGATCGACATATTTTACTCTGGGTGCGTAACAACTGTACCTCATTTCAAAACAAATACTTTTTGATAAAGATTTGTAAACAAAAGGCTTTATTTTTTATATTCTTCTAACTAAAAACTAGTTTCGATAAGAAATGGTGAAAATGTTTTAAAAAAGACAGTGTTGCCCTCATAATTTTCTAGAATTCTTGAGTTTGTGGAGGCTTTGCCCCTGGAGACCACTGAAATCACTTGGGGCCACAAAATGTATGAAACAAACGTCATGAAATTATGTAAACGTTAAACATTTTACACACCCAAATCAATATTCCCCAAATAATATACATGTAAATGTTTTATTTAAATCCAATTTCCTTTCACCTTCTTACTTTTTCACTTTATTTAACTTTTTCATTAAGTCTGATTTCTTTGCATTTTCAGGTCAGCAGAGGTTTACAAAGTTCCAGGGTATTTTCGGATTGTTTGAATTCTGGACGGACGATTATTTAAATAAAAGTTCTGATGCATATACAGTACTAGTAGCAGATTTAGAGTATGATGTAAGTCATTACTTAATTTTTTGCATCTTAGATCCGCCCCTGCATATCAAAACATGAGAAAATATCCCCCCTTTTCATCGAGTTGTGGTTTAAAAAATGAGTCCTTTATACCATTTCTCAATTTAAAGCAGTTATCTTAGATTTGCTTGCTGCTTGTCCATATCTGAAAGAATAATCCCCATCCTATTTAACACTGAGTTGTGGATAGAAACAACTGTATGTAGTTCTTTCTGCACTCACAGAAAAAAAGCTCGATTACAAGAGCGATAACTCCATGTGTTTTTTTTTTTCTTTTTGCAGATAGATGCAACCTTTGCAGTATTCAGTGATTTTAAAGGAGGAAATATCGTAGATGTTCAGTAAGTACAATACACATGTATAGTCATATTCATCTGTGTCCTAATTTTACAGTGAATATCAATGACAGTCAAAAGAAATCTTAATATATTTTTAGAAGAAACATTTAAACATGACACATTTTATATATTACATATCATATGTTATTAAAAAAGCACACGGATAATGCAAAATCAACCATTTTTGTCCACTCTACTAAGTTAATTATCCATTACAATGAATACTAAAACATAAATGACAAAATGTCCTGAAACTGAAAGTCTGATGTGCGAAAATAAGATTGGATCATGAATATAGCCTCTGCATTTCAACTAAAAATGAAGACTTATGAAGGTTTTAACGATTAAAAATTCAAAATGAATTTTTTGAACATAAGTATTTTAGTAATAAAGAACAAATTGTGTCATAGATTTTAAATTAAACCTTAAAGAATTGAGCTTGACAAAAAACGAAGCCAAACAGTTTAATGACCTTGACCTTTCTAATTGGGCCTTTAATAATCTCTTGTCTTCAAGCATCTATGCCAGTTAATTACATTTTGGGATCATATCTTCCTATATATATTGCTTTCTCTTTGTAGAGTTGCAGATGGAAATTTTACTGAAGTCACATTAAATATAGAATTTTACACTTCTCGGACGGAAGCGAAGTTCAGAGAATTGTTACAAAATGTCACAAGCAATTACACACTCTTCGGCAATTTTTTCCTAGACTTTGTCAGGAGTATACGTGGTATGTACAATCCAGTGTAGGGACTGTGTTTCACTGTTTGTTTAGTTATTTTGAAAATTAAACATTGTTTACATTATTTAAAGTTAGCCAAAACTTTAAGAAATAGAATTTTAAGATTTGTGTTCAAAATGATTCTTTTCCTCAAAGTGCTCATTCAGTTCTTGGATCCAAATTAAATTGACTATAAAATGTGCCCAAAGTTTGAAGTTGATTCTTTTCATTTATTTAAACGTTGCTGTGCTATTTCAGGTATTGAATCCCTTGGACCATCTGTCTCCGCAGCAGTTACAAACTCATTGTTTAGTTCACAGTTTGATTCCACGACAACAAGTGACGTATTTCCCAAGACCAGTGACGTATTTAACACAAAACATGACGTTTTCTCTTCTGCGCATCTATCAGTTTTCTCCAGTTCACAAGTTTCACTTCAATCGTCTGTATCAGACTTATTTACAACATCAAAAGGTAAGTTTCTCAACTACATGCATTAAAACTTTCCATACACACAGCTTTTCGTTTCACAGATAGATAGCCATCAACTTCGAAGAGTTCTTTACTTTTCTTCAAATATTTTGTGCTCTTTCTTTACTATAAAAGACAGACTCTTTAGGCACTCACAGTATTATTCTAAAATACTTTTGTTAATTGTATTTTTTAGATTCCATGACACCACCTTTACCATCCACTTCCGCTATAGCTACAGATGTAACGTCGGAAATATTACCAACATCCTCCGAGAGCTTAAGTTTACCATCAGTCTCTTCAATCGATGTGAAGCCATCAGGTATCGTATTATCAAGTGTTCACGCTTCATCCTATCTTATATCGTCTGCTTTGCCTGTTCAGCAGCTTGACTTTTCTGTACTCAACTTCAGCACTACTCAAATCTCAACTGACGCTCGCAACCTTTCTACAATCTCTGCTTCATATGATACTAGCCACCTGCTTGCTTCCTTCAGCACAACTTCTGCTCAATATACAACAGCAACCTCTAGCCTCTCTTCCTTTGAATATTCAAATGACTACACTTTGCTTCAGCATGTTTCTGAATCACCTGCACAAAGTGATTTTGAATCTAAAACTCTTGCTTTCGAAAAGAATAGTATTGCTTTGATTAACAATACGGAAAGTGCTCATAGCTTTTATTTATCCTCCGCATCTGAATACTCAACTAACATTCCCAATAGTGATTATGAATATGAATCATTAGACATTTTATCTTTCGCGCAATCGACATATCAGGTAGAATCGTCGGTCTCTGTCTTTGCTAGTGATGATGGTTTTGATTCTTCAAAGCAACAAAATCTCGAATTCAACTCCGAGTCCGTGGAATATTCGACTGGAACCATAACTTCGATCAAACCAAGTCCCTCCCAAACAATGTTGTTCACGGGTTACTTCAGCGATGCAGTGGAAAATGAAGGAATGTCAACCTCAGGATTTCCAGCTAGGATCGCTAATTTAAATATACAGTCCAACTTGTCTCCAGTTAAAACGAAAAATGCAAATCAACTCTCAGCTGTATCTAAAGCAACATTTGTTCATAAAAGTGTGCCATCAACCAAGGACCCTTATTCAGCAACATCCGTTAATGGGCTGTTGTCTTATCCTAGTGAATTGGCTCCTTTTTCAGATGTATCCTCGATACTTTCTTCAATGGCACTAGAGGAAGAAATAACTTTTGCAACCAAAACAAATCACAATGAGGAAATTATAACAATCTTTAACAACGACATGCAATCTTCTCGGCATATATCTCATTCAGAATTTTTGCATCAATCAGCTGATTTACCGATCAAAAAAACTACTTGGGAGATGTCTTTTACAAGTCCGACAAACCGGTCAGAGGGAATGGAAATCTTCACCCCGGAATTTGTAGTAGAACCTACTCCAGCAAAGGTTCAGGGTCACTTTAATGGAGATATATTTAGTGATGCACATCTTGACAATATTCTGAACGACCTTTTAGTAGAAAGACAAAGACAGCAATCTTCAAGTGTCATTCTTCATCAAAGCAAAACAACAGAATCCTCAGAGCTGCAAGCAACATCAATATGGAATTCATCAGAGAAGAAAACAACCCAAGGTATATATACGTAGTAATATTATATCCCTAGAACAGTAGCGTCCCTTATATTCCCTTAAAAACTCAAATGTATACTATAGATCATAATTTTAATGACTCCCTTATATTAAAACATAGTAGATGGATATGTATGATATACGGAAACTCAAAACAATACCTTAAAAGTGAATCTCTTCTCTTTTAACTGTTTTGAATATCAGCTTTGATTTTGATATAAAAATCAAAAAATGGCGGACATGATTAATGCATAGAATTGCAGGACTCGCAAGCTTTGGGATTGAGAGCTTTCCGCTTTATCGCCAACAAATTAAAAAAATAATTTTATTTAATTTTCAGCATAAATAGAAATTTTATTTATCATTTGTGTTTTTCTCTTCTCTTTCTATAGTTGATGAAGCAAGCACACCTACATATTTATCTACAGTCATCAGTACTTCAATACCTTTACTGAAGTCAGCGTCATCCTTCCCTGTAATGCCAACACGATCTCATGTGAGCTCATCGATATCACTTCCACCAAAACTATCATCACTGAAACATTCTATTCAAGCAAAATCCAATCATTCTTTGGACTCCGCCATACCAACATGGAGTGCCTCCTTAAGTTCTTCTGCTTCCTCGAGGGGACTTGTCGAAACCACGTCGTCAATACCCCTGGGCATTATTACAAAGTCTGATAAAATGATGTCTTCATTCTATTTCACACCATCCGTTCATGTTGACTGGACTGAAAATTCTGGACTATTATCTACAAATGATAATCTAGTTTCGATGGACACAAGTTTAAGAGAAAATCCAAGATCCAGTCCAGCTGGAATTTTATCGGAAATATCATCAACGACGTCGATTCTTTTTCCAAGCAATATATATTTATCAACAAAAAATTTACTGAGTTCACGTTCACAAGCTGACTTATTAGATATTTCTTATACAACAGAGCCCCAGGCTCTTTCAACAGAAACTCTACTAACTTCAGCAGGACAAGCAACGAGCAGTGTGTTGGAGTCCTCATCTTACTTAAAAGAGATCAGTCACTCGCAAGCGTTTCTTTCAACAAGTTCTTTTGGTTCTTTCAGTGACATTGGGCCTCTCGTATCCTCAAGTCAGTCTAACGTGGACATGTCCTCCAGACATTCTAACATATTTTCTAACCAAATAGACGTAATTACTTCTTCAACTAATTATTTCAACCAGTTTTCAACCAATATGTCTTCAAGTGAAAGAGATATAAAATTGTCCTCAAGCCAAAGCAACGCATTTTCTCTTTCTAGACAAATTGAAACTGTTACTTCTACAAGTCAAATAGACAAAGTCATTTCCACAAGTCAAATAGACGATGTTATTTCCAGCAGTCAAATAGACAATGTTATTTCCAGCAGTCAAATAGACGATATTATTTCCACAAGCCAAACAGACTACATTATTTCTACAGGTCAAATAGACAATATAATTTCCACAAGTCAAATAGACAATGTTATTTCAAGCAGTCAAATAGACAATGTTATTTCAAGCAGTCAAATAGACAATATTATTTCAAGAAGTCAAATAGACAACGTTATTTACACAAGTCAAACAGACAACGTTATTTCCTCAAGCCAAATAGACAGTGTTATTTCCACTAGTCAAAAAGACAATGTTATTTTTTCCAGTCAAATAGAAAATGTTTACGTTTCCAGTAATATTAACAGAACCTTTTCAAGCCAGATTGATTTAACTACTACATCAAGCCTATTTGATCAATTTACTACTTCAAGTGTTGACAAAGTTATTTCTGCTAGCCAAATTGACACTACTTCTTCAAACGAGATAGACGTTAGCATTTCATCACAACAGATTGATACTGATTCAGTATCTAGCCAAAGTAACATTGCTGACATTTCAAATACAATTGATATTGCTTCTAGCTCACACTGGATTGACGGAGCTTCTTTCTCAAGTCAAATCATATCTCCCTCTAGCAAAATATCCGATATGATTTTGTCATCAATAAAAAGCCATGATTCATCTTATACAAGCTTAGCTGATTTAGAATCAAACACCAGAGACTATAATACATTCTCTGATATTCAAACGTCCTCCCTAGGATTGGCATCTACATCTACATCTAAGTCTACAACATGGAATTCTGATCTATCTAAAATGTCTACATCTAACTTTGATCACTTAATTACCTCTTCAGTAAAAAGTCCAGCATCTTCAAATGTGCTGAATTCATCTATTTATTCAGGAATCGTTTTACCTTCAGACGTACACAACTCAACGCTTTCAATTGATAGGAGCTCTGTAGTAGATGATTCAACATTACGTTCCACTGAACCATCTTTCCAATCGGTTATTCAGACAGCAACTCAAATTTCAGCAACTCTTACTCCTCCGTTAAGTTTTTATACAAGGGAAATTTTGTCGGAGACTAGCGACTTGAATTCACAATCGAATATAAAGACATCCGATGACTTTCCATCTCAAATATCACAAGTTACCTTTTCTTCCAGCTCTCAGTCTACTTTTTTCAAGCCATCTTTTTCCGATACGATTTCAAACGTGTTCTCTGATACAAGAATCTCTTCAGATATACAGCTTATTTCCAGTCGTCATTCAGTGGAATCTTCAGCAGGCTTATTAAGCTCTAGTATTGATGTAGAATCTATTCTAAGAAAGGAATCATCGTCATTTATTAGACGAGAAACTAGCTCTGTTTCAGATATCATATCATCTAGTGACTCTTTTGCCACTAAAATTGTTTCTTCAACACACAATAAATCAACGGAAATATTTTCTCCCAGCGTTTCGAGTACATTATCATTTTCTGAAGCTGTCCGCAAATCGTCAATATTATTATCATCAAGTTTGTTGGAGCAACAGAGCACAAGAGAAAGTATGTTGGTGTCAAAAAGTATTATGCCATCGTCGAATGGATTTGGGATAGTTTCAACAAAACGGGACAATTTGGAAAGTTTTATTAAATCACCTTCAATATCTTTAGGATTACATCTATCACCAAGTTTTGAAAATATTTTAACTACGTCTTCTTCAAACTTCGTAATACCTACATTGATGTCAAGTAAAACTTTCTCTATAACAGATTCAATGACCACTGATTCATCAAAATTCTTCCCAAGTTCTGGAATAATACCATCAGTGTCTCATTCCTTGTCGCTGTTAAGCTCTAAAATCGGAATGTCAACTTCTGCATTTTCCACTGAAATAGTCAGCAGCACATATTCACAAACTCCAGGTTTGGAAACGCCTAATCTTTCAAATGTATCAGAGAAATTATCGTCATCGTCACATGGTATAAAACCATCATTAAGTGCATCGATATTTTCATCCAGTGTATGGGAGGTTTCATCTGAAATCTCTTCCAGACAAATGACATATTCTCAGGAAGCTTCACTAAGTTCAATTACGAGGTCCCCAGAATCCTCTGTAATATATAATCTTTCGTCAACATTTGCTCAAGAAAACAGTATCACAGATCGACAAGAAGCAAGCTCCTGATATAAAATCTTCTAGTGACATTTTTTCCACTGAACTTGTTTCAACAACTCACTATGAGCCAACACCATTATTATCTCCGAGTCTTTCGAGTACATTATCATTTTCTGACAGTGTTCCTAAATCGTCAATAATATTATCAAAAGGTTTGTTGGAACAGCAGAGCACAATAGAAAGTACGTTGGTTTCAAAAAGTAAAATATCAACTTCAAGTGAGTTTATGGTAATTTCAACCAAACAAGATAATTTGGAAAGTTCTATAGAATCATTGTCGATTTCCTCATTGGTACAATTATCATCAAGTGCTTCAAGATTTATAAGATCTTCTTTGGTGTCAAGTACAATCTTCGGTGGAATGGATTTAATGACCACTGATATGTCGTCAAAATTGGCCGAAAGTACTGGCATAATACCATCATTTTCTCTCTCCCCATCTCTTTCAAGCACTAATCTGGAATTTTCGAGTTCTGAATTTTCCTCTGAAATAGTCCGCAGCGTATATTCGAAAACTTCAAATTTGAAGACATCGAGCCTTTCGAGTTTTTCAGCTGAATTGTCCTCATCGTCACGTGGTATAAAACCGTCATTAAGTAAGTCATTATTCTTATCCAGTCCATGGCCATTTTCGTCTGAAATATCATTTCTACCAACTCCCGCAAGTTCAATAAAGACGTCTTCTATGAAATCAAGTCAATTGTCAACATTGTCACTAGATGATAATATTAATGATAGTAATTCCGTACAATCATCAAGATTTGTAACAGATTCCATAAATATTCAGCCTTCGATGCAATATTCAACAGAACTATCATCATCCAGAGTAAAGGTTTCAAGTATTGAGCATTCATCCTCCATGTATTCTAAATATTCGTCAATATCCTTACAAACATTACACTCCTCAGAATTGACAGCATCTCCAACGATTGAGTCATCGACGATATTTTCCATTTCATCATCTTCAATTTTCTTCCCAGGAGCATCTTCCATAGTGACATCTTCACCAAAAACGGAAAACACGTCAATTATCGTAGAACCGTCTACTTTGAATTCTATGATCTCATCAGTAATTGCGACTTCAATTGATTCTTCAACGCTTTCATCTTCGCCAATAGCAGAAAACACGTCGTTTGTTACTCAAAGCACTTTGCTGAATACAATGACATCATCATTAGCTGACCTCACAGAATCCTCGACAGTAACATCGCCTTCATCGAGTGTGGAACTAGAAACTTCATTTTCTTCTTTTGTATCAACTTCAGTTTTAGAGGAAATATCAACTATATCAGCAGCAGCAGCAACAAGTGGAAATATTAACAAGGAGTCTTCTTCATTTAATATTGATACTTCTTCATTAATGACACTACCGATGGACTCTGGAAGCGTAATATCAACATCAATTCAAACTAAAACTCAAGAATCAATACACACCAAACTGACGGAAACGGATTTATATACTCACTCATCTGAGATAAGGAAAACCACTTCGCCATTTTCGTCCAAAACATCAATATTTGTAGGCTCCACAACTTCTTTACCATCGATTTCAGAATACAGTTCGTCCGCAGTCATTCCTCAGACGTCATCATCAATAGAAGCTTCTTCGATGGTTTCTCCAGCTTCGACAAGCTCGCAAATCGTGGCTTCATTTTCGAATAGCATTTTAACAGACATTAATTTGCCTACGCGATTGTTTTCACTAACAAGCTCCTCTATGTTGAGTTATTCCACTGGTATGTCAAATATACTCACAACTGACTCCTCCTCTGCACACTTGCAAATGTCTTCGCTTGAAATTTCTTCTTATAGCTCGCATTATATGTTTTCTTCCTCAAAATATTTAGATTCCTCTGTAGATTCGGCGGCTTCAAGACACGTTTCATTCACTTCTGTTCCTGAGACATCTACTGGGCTACCGTTCCTAACTTCTTCAGAGGCTTTGTCTGTCGTATCTAGTGTTGTACCAACTTCGTCCACGGTTAAAGGTACAGTTACACTTTCATCATCAACACCATCACTGATGTCATCATTGACTGAGTCATCCTTTGTTTTGACATCACCTTCAGTAATCACCACACCCTCATCATCTTCAGAAGCCTTCTCCGTTATACCAACGGTTTCGTCTTCAACAGTATCATCAGCCAAATTGCACACATCATCTGAGGATAAAATGTCAACAACATCCGTGCACAGCATATCAAGTCAATCATCTACATTTAAATCAATGACAAGTGAAATTCAGTCATCCACAAGCTCAATTTTCACCTCATCGACTTTTGTTTCTGCCACTCCACATTCTTCAGCAGTATCCAGTGATTTGGTTTCTTCCTCGACAGTTTTACCATTGGTCACTAGTACAATTGCACCATCACCATCTTCTACAGTCACAGACTTTCAAGCAACTTCAAGTATGGTCTCAGAAACAACTTCCCTCCAAACTACAACTACGACCTCAAAGACAACCTCTCAAACAACAACCGTTGCAAAGAGTACAACACCAGTGGCAGATCTAACCACGACTCCAGCACCAGTACAGACCGTAGCCGCTAAACTACGAATCACAAGTTTGGATTGGAAGCCTGAATACAGTGACGAAAACTCTGCCGACTACCGGGCTTTGTATGATCTCGTCAACAGTACTGTAAGTATTAATAAACTATAACTTGAGATCTTTTTGTTTTTATTACTAATTTTTTCCACCTTGTCAACTTTTAATCTTTTTCAGCTTACCTACGCGTATAGCGGCAGTGTATATGGAGCACGTTACATCACTCTTTCGGATATAGTATTTAGGTATTTCTTTAAATGATCATTTATAATTATCGCAGCAAATAGAAAGTTTATGATAATTTGTTTCTTTAATCTACAATTGCATCGGAAAGATTTCTTGAAAAGGTGTAGAGTTTTTTTTTTTGGTGATTGGTTTGGTGTTTCTAAAAGAAAAAAGGATATATGCTGAAAAAATTCAATATACAATCCTACAATGATAAAGCCGTTTCATTTAAGGGGAAAAATCTCTTTTTTATTAAATGATTATTCTAAACTTTGTCTGACTTTCAGACAGGGTAGTATAATTGTGGAGTTTAACGTCAAGTTTTCCTCTGGAGAAGCAGTAGATACGAATATTCTGAGCCAGGAAGTCAACAGTATGTCCGCCTTGTTACCGCCACAGGTTCAGATTGATACAAATTTTACCTCACACACAGGTAAGTTTGTGTATGGTAAGGCTGAATTTAGAAATGATTATTGAGTTCGAGGCCATTGATTGATATGATATAAGTCGATACAAATCGAGTTTTCCCCCCACTTACTATGCCACAAAAAATCATCAACACTTTTTGATTGTAGCTGTTGAAATGTTAACAACTGAACCTGTAAGAACCATGGCCCCAACAACTGTGGCTGTAACAACTGAACCTGTGACAACCATGGCGCCAACAACTGTTCCTGTAACAACAAAGTCACCAACGACCACACCAATGATTACACACGATCCAACAGACAGACCGGAAACAACAAAGATGACTACAGTTCCTGTGACACCAGAAGTAACAACAGAACCCAAAACCACTTCAAAATCAACAACAGAAAGTGTGACAACACCAATAACTGTACCTCTGACAACTGAGAGTCAGGAAGTCAATGATACTTCAACTGAGCAAACAACATATCCCACAACACATGATCTAATAACAGATATCAGCTCGACAACTGTCCAGTTCACTACTCCAGCTGCAACAACCCATGCTTTCACAACAAGGGAGGCTTCAACAACTGATCTAACAACAGACAGGATGACAACAAACATGGAAACAAAGGAACCTGTCACAATAACATCAACAGCAGACATGAGCTCAACCCCATCTTTTACAGAGAAGTCAACGACAACCTCTCCATTAACGAGAGTGACTGAAAGGACAACATTCGGATTTTCAACAACCAAAACAGTTATCCCAGGACAAACAACCACTGTTCCTCTTTTCCTGAAAGAGTTTGGAGTCACTATTCGAGTTATGGGTGAACCTTGGGATCCCATGTATGCAGTACCAAACTCACAGAACTACGAGATATTGAACAACGCTTACAAAAACTTTGTAAGTAGTTTTAAACTGTAAATTTTCATACAGATTTGATTGTATCAAAGATGTAGGTATACTACTGTATTTGGTTAACGCAAATACAATCTTAATTTTGACATAAATGTTAGTTTCATGTTTGTGAATTTTGAGTTAAAAAGGTTAAATGTATGATTTTCTGTTCTTTTTCCTTGACAGCTGTTTAATGTTTATCGTTTTGGTACTTATGGGGATGAGTTCATGGACATCACAGATTTACAGTTTAGGTAAGAACAAAAAGAACCGCAATATATTTAAGTATCCTTTATCATTGAGTGATATTTATTTTAATTATGTGTGAAGAATTGTACGTTGGTATGAAGGCATGAAACACAATTGGCTTTATCATTTCGTTGTCTTTATCATTTATACAATGTATCAAAGAATTATTATACAAAGAGATTTTTGAAAACCTAAATTAAATACATAAAAATTCAATTTGTAGGCAAGGCAGCATCATCATGTCGTATGTAATAATGTATCTTGGGATCGATCCCATAGATCCTCAAATCCTAAACATAATGGTCAACACTGCGTTTGCAAACGAAACTATTCCTGGGGTGACAATTGACCACTTATTCACATCACATTCTGGTAAGATATTACAAAATCATAAGATGTTTCTTTGTTTTCTTGTTTGATTATTTTTTTTTTATTTTAATTAATTTTATTTTTTTGGGGTACTTTTTAAGAATTGAGAGATTTAACTGGTTCAAATTTAGAAAGTTTTATTTTTAATCAAGGCGAAAAAAATTGAAGATTTATTATTCACTAAAACCGATGTTTCACACTTAACATAATGCCTAAAAAGTTAATATGGTTTTCGCTGAGAAACAGTACATGTGGAATGTGCAAGACATATTTCTATTGTAATTTATGATTCTAATGAAAACTAATATTTCAATTTCATCAGTTGTGTATCGCTTTTATCAAATAAAAACAGGAAACTTTAAAAACAATGAAAAGTAAAACATTCATTTGTGTATTTAAATGAATTTTCATGTCTTGAAACTCAATATCTTTGCCCTAGGATATACTGATATTCAATTTTCATGTTTTTGCAGAAATAGTGCGAGACACTTCTTCCATGTCACCAATAACTGATATCACAACAACCGCCCCGACAACTGAACAACAAGCAACATCCACTGTAATGTCAGCAGTCACAGAACAACTAACAACACAGGCTGCTACAACACAACAACCAAAAACACGCCCTGTTACGTTAACAGTTACAGAAAAACTAACAACAGAGCCTGTTACAACGCAACAAACAAAAAAGACAACAACTGACGTAGTGATAACAGACCACACAGGACAGTCAACACAACAAACAACAGGGGTTCCTGAAATAAGCACAACAACAGACGCAGTTACAACAGAACAAACACGAAACCTGACAAGTGGAGCTCCAACAACAGAGAGAACAACAAGCCAGGCAACAGAAGTTGTAACAACACAACAGACAATGACCACAACAACAGAAGGTGTTATAACACAACAACCAACAGACAAAACATCTAAGGCTTTAACTACAAAACACACAATAGAACAGTCAACCATGGCTATAACGACAACACAGACAATTAACATGACAACCGAGGATACAACTACACAACAAACAACCGACAAGACAAGTGATGCTGTAAGGACAACAACTCTTCCGGTTCTGAGTACTATTGATAGCATTGCACAGGACTTTGACGTCACTATTCGCATTCTCAGTGAGAGCTGGGATCCCTCCTACTCCAACCCTGATACAGAAGGTTACAGTAACTTGATTGCCACCTACTTCACATTTGTAAGTTTTACCTACTTTCGTATCTTTAATAAATGCGCATTGTTCTTTATAACTATTAAGTTTTGGTCTTGAATGTTAATGAATATTTCTTTTTGTCTTACAATGGATACTTTAGTTAAACTCAATAATTATAAAGGGAAAACTGTGCAGTATAATTGTTTGTTAGGAACATTATTACTTTATCAAGAAAGATAATTCTCAAGGGAAAAAGAATTTATCTTTTCCATTTATCCCGCAACGTTTGCTCGATTTGTATGTTTTACAAAAGGATTTTGAAACCTTCACTACATGTTTGACATTTCTTGAAAAGGTCTGCATTATCTATCATTCTTTACCTGAACAAGTTTCAACGCTTAATACAAAAAGTTTATCTACAATTTGTATGCATACATTTTAAACGTTTGACTTCATTTTATTTATGATCATCTCTATGAGGACTGCAATAACAATTACTTATGGGTGAAAATGCATGTATATTGCCCATTATTTCAAATGGCCTTATAAATTAAAAATAAAATAAGTAGATGTCATCCTCTTATTTCAATAAAATAGAATTACAGAATATATCTTAAATACAATGCGACACACCCCTGATTGTTTATTGTTGTTTCTGCAGGAAGAAAATAATTCATATTGATATATATTCTAATTACAAATGACTATGATTAATAATTTTAGCTTTATGACGCCTACTCCTTGGGCTTCTATGGTGACAGATTTGCAAGAATTGCACAAGAATTTAAATTCAGGTATTTGATAATTATTTAATGAATTATAAAACATTTTGGATGATACAAACAAATTTGATTGGCATATACATGTATTTGTTAACCTTTCTTAGTTTAAATGATGAGAATAAAAAAAAAACTCTTGCAATTTACGAAATTATAAACTTTCTACGATGTTCAAATTAAAATGACCCTTTCTTCAACCATCCTTATTAACTGAAACAATATTTGTCACTTAAAATCCGTTATTTTTTAATTTTAAATGAAAAAAAATTGCGGCTAAACTCATTCTTTTTTACTTTTAGTTATGAAAAACTGTGGTTTTCAGAATTTTTAGTTCACCTCAACGAAGTTGGGGGGAGCTTATGTGATACCCTCGGCGTCGGCGTCGGTGTCGGTGTCGGCGTCGGCGTCCCAGGTTAAGGTTAAGTTTTTTGGAGCATTTTTCTTTTTAATTACTTCTGTGTCCTATACTGATTAGACATGCATGGAAGATGGTTTTAGTGTGTTTTATTGTACCAGACAAAGTTTCAGATGCTGCAATTTCAGCAAAGGAATTACCAGGTTAATGTTTTTGGAGCAGGTTAACATTTTTGGTGCAGTTTTTGGTGTGGGTTTCATTTCCAAGTAACTATAAGCCCTATGTTGACCAAACTTGCATGGATGATACATCTAAGGATGCATACTACCGGGCTTGCTTCGGATGCTGAATCTGACCTACATTTTCCGGTTGAGCGAACAGGTTAAAGTTTTTGGTGTAGGTTTCATTTCCAAGTAACTATAAGCCCTATGTTGACCAAACTTGCATGGATGATACATGTCAGGATGTATTCTACCGGGCTTGCTTCGGATGCTGAATCTGACCTACATTTTCCGGTTGAGTGAACAGGTTAAAGTTTTTGGTGCAGGTTTCATTTCCAAGTAACTATAAGCCCTATGTTGACCAAACTTGCATGGATGATACATCTAAGGATGCATACTACCGGGCTTGCTTCGGATGCTGAATCTGACCTACATTTTCCGGTTGAGTGAATAGTTAAAAGTTTTTGGTGCAGGTTTCATTTCCAAGGAACTATTGAGTTCTTTAATGACCAGTCTTGCATAGATGATACATCTAAGGATGCATACTTCCAGGCTTGCTTCGGATGCTGAATCTGACCTACTTTTTGTGGATGAGTGAAAATGTTAGTTTTGATGCATGTTTCATTTCCAATAAACTATGAGTTAATGTGCAAACTTGCATGGATGATACATCTAAGGATGCACACTAATGGACTTGCTTCGGATGCTGAATTGGACATACATTTTTCAGATAATAGACAAGGTAAAAGTTATGGTTGCAGGTCTACTACCAAAAACTATAAGGCTTATATAACATTGTATAAACCAAACTTGCACAAATGCTGCATCAAGAGATGAAAACTCTCAAATTTGCTTCAGTTGCTGGATTTTCATTACTTTTTCATGAAGAAGAAGTAGTTTAAATTTTTTATGTAGGTCTATTTCAAAGTATCAGATCAAAATTGCTTTTAAAAATATTTTCATTTTTGGAATGTATACTTTTTGTTGGTTAATTGTGTGACTTTGCCTTACTTAAAGACAACATTCGTTGAGGTGAGCTCTGTATTCTCTGATTACCTATTTTTGATATTATTTTTGTTTGCATCATCTGTTCATAACAAAATTAAATGACTGTTTAAGTCAGTTGTCTTACATGATGGATATGATAATAACTGATTAATAGATAATAACTAATTAAAAGAATATTCTTTCATATAATATTCTTCAAATAAAAGAGGGGCAATGCTGGTATTGTTATAGAGTAATTTTGATTAACATTTATTTATGCCATCTTTTCAGCGAGGGTAGCGTCATCATCAATTATGTCGTCACATTCCTGGGTAGCCAGCCATTGGACGTTCAGATTCTGAACTCTGAGATCAACAAGGAGTTCCAGGACGGCTCGTTTGGTCCGGATGTTGTTATTGATCCCAACTTCACTTCTCATAAAGGTAGGTAGTTTAGGAATCTGTTAAATATTGATTGTAAAAATTGTTTTATATTGGAAACTTACTAGTATCTTAATATCTTTCAGTTATCAAATTATATACACTCAAATTCTTCTAATTGTGCTTGAAATGAAAACAATCTTATGATTTTAGCAAAAAATTAAACTTTATTGGTTTGAATTGCTTAAGTGAATCATTCAGACTGCCCTGAACAAATTATTTTTTGTGCCGCCCAGATTTTCTTTTAGGTCCAGTGTATGTGAGATAATCTTATGCCAGTATATTAAAAGGTGGTTCTTGGGGGAAATCTTACAACTAACTTCTCAATTGTTCTATAATATCTTTAAAGACACATAATATCAGACATATGAACACTTAAGATAAAGAAATACATGTATACTATAAAGAAGGGGTATTTTTAATTGATATTTTTTTTTTTAATTTTTCATTAACAGAAACAATCATTGGACCCACTGTGTCAACAACACAGATACCAACTTCATCAGCAGAAACAACTCATTCAACAAGAAAATCAACAACTCCTGGTATAATAACATCGGAATCTACAACAGTTGATACTTCTAAAACAACTGAACAAATGACATCAACTACAGGTATCCAGGTAACAACCAAATCTCTGACAACAGGAGAGGTGACAACTGATTCTCAGACAACTCAGGAAATGTTAACAACAACCACTCAACCTCCTGAAACAAATGCAACACTACTTCTGACAACCACAAAAGCTGTAACCACACCTGTTGTCACTGAGTCCCCATCTACAACAGGTGGAATTACAAAACCATTAGGAACAACCACAACTAAATTTCCCACAACAATGCAACCTACAACAACTGAAGCTGTAGTTACAAGCGATGGACAAATGACTGAGGCAACAAGTACAACACCATATGTGCCAACAACTTCGACTATTGAAACAACACAAACTCCAAAAACACAACCTCCTATAACTTCAGAAGCCACATCAACACATGTTTCTACAACAACCCCAACTACACAATCTCCTATAACATCTGAATCTTCAACAACAACTGGAGAAGTCCCAACAACATTAGCTTCCACAACAACAGTTTCAACAACTTCAGAACCATTAACAACATCTCAATCTACAACAACTCAAAAACCAACTACTGTGACAACTACAGTAACAACTCAAGTACCAACAACTCAAGCTCCAACAACCACACACACTCCAACAACTACCAGATCAGCTGTTGAAGAAACGGTTGACGTGTCCTTGAGAATTATCAATAAAAGTTGGGATTCCAAACTGGCTGATCCAAACTCTGTGGAATATCAGTCACTCAAGAACCAGATTTATCCTAAAGTAAGAGCTTCTTTTTCAAGAATTTAAAGTTATAGAAAAGAAAAAGCATTTCAATGAGCAAATGTGGTTATTTCCTGATAAAATCATACTAAAAGTTGATTATTCCTTATGTTTTAGCTGCTGGAGATATACTTGGCGAGTGCTTACAAAGATAGAGTTATGGGAATTGAGAATATATCCTTCAGGTACTCTCTCTCTCTCTTTCTCTCTCTCTCTATGTGTGTGTTTTCTTAATGTATGTGGGTTATTAAATCGTTAATGATTGCTTATAAATGTCCTTGTAGAGAGGGGAGTGTGATTGCTGATTTCACTGTACAGTTTTCTGGAAGTGCTCCAATCCCACCGGAAGACCTGAATACAGTCATAAACAATGCAGCAGCCAGTGGCAGTTTTGGACCAGAAATCACTATTGACCCAACCTCAACTTCACATAATAGTAAGGCTTTTCATTCATATTCTCCAGTTTAAGACATTATTTTAGTATCCATTCTTTTTTTAATTGTGTTATACATTTGAACTTCTTACAAAAAGGAAGTTTTTTATGTGATAAAAGCTGAAAAATTCTTGAAATTAAAGAGGTTAACTCAGCTTTATGGATTGCTGTTTAAACAATTCATAACATCTAGCTCAATGTTTTTTTTCTTTATCAGACGTCCCTGCTGTATCTGTCAGCACTAAAAAAACAACAACTCATGCTAAAATAACAACACAAGCTCCACCTGCTACAACTAAACATCAAATAATAACTCAAGCTCCAACAACTACACAAGCACCAACAACTCAAGCTCCAACAACTACACAAGCACCAACAACTCAAGCTCCAACAACAACACAAGCACCAACAACTAGAGTCCAAACAACAACTCAAGCTCCAACAACTACACAGGCACCAACAACAACTCAAGCTCCAACAACTACACAGGCACTGCCCACAACTGAAGCCCAAACAACAACTCAGGTTCCTACAACTACACAGGCACCAACAACAACTGAAGCTCCAACAACAACACAAGTTCTGACAACGCAAGCTGCAACAACTGAAGCCCCCACAACAACTCAGGCTACCACAACACTTCCAGCTTCAACAACTTCACAGGCAGCCACAACAACTGAAATTATTACAACAACTAAAGCTCCCATAGCCACTCAAGCTGCAACAACTACACAGGCAACCACAGATGCTCCAACAACAACTCAAGCTCCCACAACAACTCAAGCCCCGACAACAACCCAAGCTCTGACAACCACTCAAGCTCCAACTACAACTCAAGCCCCGACAACTCAAGCTCAGACAACCACCCAAGCTCCAACTACAACTCAAGCACCAACAACCGAAGCTCTGAAAACCACTCAAGCCCAGACAACAACCCAAGCTCCAACAACAACACAAGCTCAAACAACAACTCAAGCTCTGACAACAACCCAAGCTCCAACAACAACACAAGCTCCGACAACAACTCAAGCTCCGACAACAACCCAGGCTCCAACAACAACTCAAGCTCCGACAACAACCCAAGCTCCAACTACAACTCAAGCCCCGACAACAACTCAAGCTCCAACAACAACCCAACCTCCGACAACCACTCAAGCCCCGACATCAACTCAAGCTCCAACAACAACTCAAGCTCCGATAACCACTCAAGCCCCGACAACAACTCAAGCTCCGACAACCACTCAAGCCCCGACAACAACCCAAGCTCCGACAACCACTCAAGCCCCGACAACAACCCAAGCTCCAACAACAACCCAAGCTCTGACAACCACTCAAGCCCTGACAACAACCCAAGCTCCAACAACTACTCAAGCCTCAACGACGACAAAACTAGCTGTTGAAAACACAGTTAATGTTTCAATAAAAATTATCAATAAAAATTGGAATTCAAACCTGGCTGATCCAAACTCTGTAGAATATCAGTCACTCAAAAACCAGATCTATCCTAAAGTAAGTGTTTTTTGTGCCTGAATGTTAATTCAATTTTAAAAGATGAATTAAACTGGATGTATAGTCCAACTTTAACTGTAAATGCAATTATTTGTCTATTTTTTAAAGCAAACTTTGATACAACTATTCTTCATAAAGTTATATTTTTTATTGAAATTAATGTGATTGATAGATACTTTAATTAAGGGTATGCTTACTCTTCCATGACACCTGATCCGACCTCTGATGTTTCGGAGGTCCGTTTGCTCTGCTCCTATTTTGAGCTTGAAAACTGTTCGTTATCTACATATGTTTCATTTGATATCTGTTTCAGCTTCTTGAGATATACAAGGCCAGTGCGTACAAAGACAGAATTGTTGGAATCGTGAATATTTCATTCAGGTAACTCTCTCTCTCTCTCTCACTCTCTCTCTCTCTCTCTTATGCGCAAGTGTTTTGTTCTTTTGTAGTTAGAATTGTATCTTTAATAATATCCCATATATGTATATTAAAGAGAGGGGAGCGTGGTTGTTGATTACACCGTACAATTTTCTGGAAGTGCTCAAGTCCCACCGGAAGATCTGAATACAGTAGTTAACAATGCAGCCAACAATGGCAGTTTTGGACCCGAATTCACAATAGATCCAGCATCTACATCACACAATAGTAAGCCTGTTCCCCAAGTTGACATTTAAAGGGGACTTTGTCATTTTGTCTCTAATGAAAGGTATCTCGGTATAAACTTTTGTCAGGCATTTCGACATCAAACAAAAAATATTATATAAAAGTGCTGTTCGTTTCTTTCCATTGATTTCATTCTAAAGTGATATTAACACTAAGATCACACTTTTTATTTGCGCTTTTTTCTGTATCAGAAGTCCCCGCTGTGCCATCAACCACTGAAGCACCAACATCCGCCCCTGAATCAACAACGGAAGTCACGGCTGCTCAATTTTCTGTACCGAACTGGGGCATTGCAGTGATTGTCTGTGGGGCTGTGGTTCTTATATTTTTATTAGCCATGATTTGTGTCCTGGTAAGTAAAAAGCTTTTTATATAGAGAGACATTATTTATACATCTAAACTCCAGGGAGAACAGCATTATACTAAAATATACATTCTTTTTATACATTATGGGTTATTTTATTAGTGCTTTTTAAATCATCCTGAGAATTTTTTTTTTCAGTTTCATTATTGGACATTTAGATAATTGTAATTTTTTTTAAAGCAAATAAAAAAATCGTACATGTAGTGATATGATTTCATTCTTGTAGCAAAGGTTTCTTTCGTAACGACTAATTTTTGAATAGTATTACTTAATTTGCTTTAAGTTTGTTATTATATTACACTACACGTACTTTTCCAGGTACTTTTTCGACTTATTAGTCAGCCCCCGGGCTGACTAGTTACGTTAGGATGAAACTGCAAGTGCGCTTGCGTTAATCGGAATTCTGGGAAAAAAGATTTGCACAAATTCTCCAACCAGAGGGCGTGCTCTTCTCTCACTCTCTCTCTCTCTCTTTCTCTCTCTCTTCTCTTCTCGAAGAAAATTTATGACGACTGTACAGCTTCTAGATGTAATATTTGTCTGTTTTTAAATCAAACTATGAAAATATTTCATTGCTTCTAACTGTTACAGAAGATAAGTACATTCATTCCCTCAATCGCCATTGCAAGCCGAAGATTTAAATTGTGTATTCCTCTGGATGCCTGATGCAAGACTCCCTCGATCAATATTCAATACCTTGCATAAGACATGTACGGGTCGGAATTCACACAACAATCCACTTGCCACAAAGGTCCCAAAATAGTGAAAAAAAGAACGATCAATTTTTTTTCACTCTAATGATAGGCCTAAAAGTTATGAAAACATCAGAAGACCACCGTAAGACAGTATGGTGATGGACGTGCAAGTCCGCTTGTGCATGTGAACCGCGCCCACATTTGAGAAATTTACCACAGTGGAAATACGATAGCTGAGAGAACTGTGCTGATTTATAGACAGGGTCAACACTCAAATGAAAGGAGAGGTGGTGAGAGGATGGATTCCAGTATTTTAATCTGTAGTTTTGCTATGATGGTAGACGTACATCATCAAAGACATTTTATTTATATACGTACTGCATGTATTTAAACATATTTGGAATTGTTTTCTGTGGCGTTCATTACTTTTTGGGAAGCAATTCTTTTCTTTCCTAATAAAACTAAAATGGATGCTCAAACTTAGAACTTGAGTTAAATATACATGCAGTATGCCCCCCCCCCCCCCCCTCCACATCATGCATTGCCTCGAAATGCACAACTGAAAACTGTTATTTGATAATATTTAAAAACAATCTAACACAAAGTTTACCTTCCTTTTATTCATCATAATCTATATCATTTTTATAGAATTTAACGTGATCTTATTTGCCATGGTGGCTTTTAATTGTTCATTTACCGGTATGAGATGAACTTTCTCTGATGTCTGAGCCGAAGAGAATTTATATAATTATTGGAGATCATTGTAATGATCACGATGCAGACTAACTAATATTTATTCTATGCTTTATTATTTATTATGCACAGCATTAAAAAATAATTAGCTTTCTTACAATGGCATTTATTACATTTAAGGAACACAACATGATGTATAGATCAAATCATAAACCATCACAAAACAAGAGAGAAACTTTCTGTATTCCAGTGGCTGACCCTCAGCTTTTTTAAAAAAGCTAACCTTGTGATAATGCTTATTTTACTTCCTCTTTATAACAGTGCTCAAGGCGACATACGAAACAGAAATACCGCATGCCAGAAGACCCGGATGACATCGGCTACATCCGGAAATCTACTGGAAGTGAATTCGCTTACGATAATAATATACCAAAGGAAGCCATGACGGTTGATGAGGAGATTAAACCTCCATCACAAGTTATACATTTAAAGAACTCTGATCTGCAGCAAAATCCAGCGCCGGAGGTCCGGCAGAATGGAAACACGCAACCGCAAGATAATGACACAGTAAGTAATAGTATAGAAGCTTTCTTATAAGCTTATTGTCATTTTCACCATCAGTTGTTTGTTAATTAGTTCCTGAAGCCATTCCTAAAACAAGAATCATTGACATGACCATTGAATTAAGTAATTTTGTCACCAAATGCAATGGAAATTCTTAAAAATTTTCAAGGGAGTTTACAATTCCTATGATAAAAAATATGCGTATGCATGATGAATTCAAGCAAGATTAAATAAATTTTCAAAATTATGGGTTTTTTAAAAAAACATTTTGTAAATATTCCTCTTTCAATTTCGCGATTCACACTGATAACACTGAATAAATGGGTATAAAATTCATAATCAATTTTAATTGTAGACTGTTTTCTTTGATTCTGAGGAATATCCGTCAGACGAAAGGCGTCCGCCATCTGACCCAGTTAGTTCTGACGAGGTCAATATGGCAGCTTCTCTATAATAGTTTAAAGTTCATAACCCCTCTGCTAAGAGAGATAACTTTTACTTGAATAAAATGACCATTATTCTAATATAAAATTTCACAGGTTTAAAATTCATTTCTTTTAATTTTGTTCCACAAAATATTTTGAAATTGATTACTTTTTCATTATTTATTAGATTTTGTTTTGAAAATCACAAGCTTTCAGACATTATTTTAGCATCGTCAGAGGGATGATGAAACTTAAAATAAACCAATTTCTGTAATGAATTTGAATTCAATTGAAATAAATTAATGTTTCTAAACAAGAAACAAAAATGACATAAAATTATATTGCTATCAATTTAGATTCAGCTGCAAATAACCGATAGCAATGATAGACAAGAAGGCGGGGCCAAAAGTAGTGAACAGGAGGTGAATATGATAATTTTGTAGAGAGATATAAATAGATTTTTTTTTTACTTATTTCACCTGCATCGATTAAAAAAGTAAAATGTCTGTCAAGGACTAACTTTTATATTTATTTAAAATGCGGAGTTCCAAATTAAAAGAAAAAAAATAATCAACATATTCTAAATAGCAATTTACTCCTGCATGATTGGTCAATGTTTAAATACCTCATATTTGTGGTATAATACGTCATGATTTTAGTTTAATACGCCATGAATTGGTAGTAAACGTCATTTGGTGTATATTTTAGCAATCGGAACTTGATGACCATTTGTAGAGAGTAAGTGTCGGTGAACTTTTTTCGTGTGCATTTCTAACCAAGTTCTGAGTTGACTTTTGTATAATACATGTATTTTTAAATGTAGCTAACATTAAATGATATCAATTTATTTTTCTAACACTTCACTTCTTTCTTTAACATTATTCGATATTTCCTATCTGTCAGTTAATCTTTAACAGTCACATAAGATAATAGATTTATATTTGGTAAGCAAAATGTCTTCAATTTCAGCTGCAGTGCATGAATTCTGAATTTCAACCGATTTAAATCAAGAAAGCATCATTATAATCTAAAACATTGTAAACATTATATCATCATGCAACCGTTTCACTTTAACTCGAGATAAAATACGCATGCGCTTTGGACTTCAAACGTAAGAAATTGAAATAACCATATATTTTTATACCACTCCCCATTATTACATGTTCGACTATCCGCTTAAAATATGAAACTTTGTTGTGGCAACTGAATTTTTGAGGCATTATTTAAAAACAAATTGTTTTTACCAGACAACAAATACGACCCAGTTTTAAAGGCAGTTGTAAGTATAGACAGAAGGATATCTAGGACTGGGGACGCAAAACTAATGCTATGTTTTTCTGAGAGTGCTGCAGCTAACATATTTGGAATTCTGCATGTTATTTGATTTTAAACAAGATCATCATTTGCGTTATTCAGGTGCAGAAGAAGATGGGGCCAACATGAAAAAAAAGAATTTATTTGTTGTACTCTGGCCGTCTTTCTTTTTGTCCTTTGCATAATGAAGACATGAAAAAATACTGAATCTTCATTTATTTTATTTCATGGTAAATTATCAACTTGTAAGATAATTCGTTTTTTAAAAAACGAAAAAATACCTACCCACCTACCAACTTTAAAAAAATGGATCGGAGTACATCAAACAAACAAAATATAAGATGGCCTGGTCGCTGATTTTTTTGTAATGCGCATGCTCCAAATATATCAATGCCCGTCAGAGCAAAATAATTGGAGAATATGTAAACGTCCTTTTCGGAACATGAAGGCTTTATGTGTTGATAAATGTCAGTGCTTGTTTGTAAAATAAGAGAGTTTAACTGCAGTTTGAAAACAATGAAACTTGCCAAGTGGCCATAATCCATATTTGTCTATGATATATGTGGTATTTATTGTTCGAAAACGGGACTTAATTCGCAATATCAGTATTGATTATCCATTCTATTGGACAGAATAGGCATATACAACTCCTTTATTTTTCCCATACAAAAATATGGCTATTGAAAATAAAATAGTTCTCTTTTGAAAATGATTTCGTATGCACAAACTTCCTTAAAAATGAACATATATGAATTAAAAATATTATTATTAACAATAAGTCTTTCATTGTAAGTCTTTCATGTACACGAAACTGACCTTCTTTTTGCTGTACCACTCTTTATATCAAGTAGATGCACTTTTATTATGCATATCTTTAAAACTTTAAGTTAAAGTAGCACTTTACTGTTATGTATACAGTATATACAAAACATACAAAAGAAACCATACTCTATAGTTCTTATGTAATGTTATACAGTGTGTTTGCTTGATTTTGTTATTATATTTTTGCTGATACAAACTAAATTAACTTGCACCGCTTTCTTTGGATTAATGAATCACTTCAGTCTTGTGTAACTAATCCTGCGAAGTAAAAAATCCTATTTAATGTTAAAATGCGCATGAAGAATTTTTCTTCAGATAATAAATTAAATGAGAGCAATTATAATCTAATTTTTAGCAAATATGTTGGTTTAATGTAAAAGTTTTTTTGTCTGGCGCAAGCAAAGTTTATTCACTAGCAAGTTAGTTTGTTATTTTTCCGCCATTGGTTTAATAATACATTATTGGTGGCAGTCAAGAACTGGTCCATTGTATTAAATATCCTTCTAGTCGGTGAATTATTTCCCCTGAGCATGTTATTTATTGTGGTTCGTCTTGTTGTCCTTTCAGGCTGTTGTTATCGACACAGATAGTTACACCGGAAGTGAAGGAAAACCTCACAGCGAAACGGAATCCATGGAATTAGATGAAAATATGTTTCAATCCATAAAGGATTTTCCTAAGACTAATTACGATGAAGAAAAAGACATATGGCAAACACATCTATAGATCACGTGATTATTTCTAAGGTCGTCATTGGTTGACACACATGTAAACACTGCCATAAACATGTCTACGTTTTTTGTGACGTAGGTGGACTATCATGACGCCAAAGTTTAACCCCCAAAGTCACGTGACCAAGTGCTTTGATACAGTGCCTATGCAATATTTCTCCTTCCTCAGTCCAAGAAACAAATTTGTATTATCAGACTTGAGTGTTCGTCTTGATATTATGAAAACTTTTTTATATTAAGATGTGTGAAGTATAATCAAAATATGGAGATTATTATTTAGGGTATTATTTTTCAATTTTTGTATTATTGTATATGAGTGCATATGTATTGAATATTTACAATGAATGAATGCTAATGTGCGAGAATAATTTTGCGCTTGCTAGCTCTGGTAAATGGAAACGCTGATTTTGCAAAGAGTTGATGTCCCTTATATATATATACAGATCTATTTGTGTGTGAGGTATGTTCATTTCGTTTACATAATTTGAACACGAAAACAAGAATGAAAATTCTGTAGAATTCAAAGATGTCTCTCATTAGGTATTATAATCAGTCGTTTTGATTCGTCTCAGATATTTGGTATGTTGTGTAACTAAGCATTGTCTCACATGTTTATTGTTCACTAGTCAGTTGGACACACAAAGGAATAAAAGCGAAAAAAAGTTTTGAATTTCTAACGTCATAATGAATCATGTGTATTGTAGTCTGTGATAGTGATCCATAACATACGTATTCCTTTTATTGTGTCATGTGTCTCATCTTGTCTCACTGAATTAACATTTAAATCTCGTAATGTCTCGTTTATATCACGTGGCTCATATTTTAAATTGAAAAAGAGACACGATTTTAATGTAAAAGATATGTGTGCTATATTTTCATTCGGGCATTTGTAGTTTTTCCTTGTACATGTATTTACAAAACAATATTAAGTTGATATGTATGTTTTTCATTGAATATTTAAGCGTGTGTCTTTTTATTGATAAAAGTAGCTATGCAACAAATATATATTTATATAAGCAATAACAAGTCAGGGTATCATAATGACGTCATTCTTTGCAAAACTTAAAGGGAAAAAGTTGTGATGTCTTTACTGTTCATAATTCTTCAGAGATTACAACGAACAATTCGTGCTATGTTGATAAGACAAGATTTATGCATCCAATGTTACATGAGAGTTAAATGTGTATGTATGCGGTCATGGTTTTGCTTTCAAGAACGATAACTCTAACGTGCATGAACTCTATGTAAGGCTTTTTGAGTGCAGTTGTACTATGTTATACTTGATATGCTCCAGAGTGAATGTGCAGATTTTTGTGTGAGAGAAATTATCTTGAGATTTCATCTATATTATAATATATTTATACACTGAGATTTAAATATATAAAGAATGAAAAGTTCACATTATCTTTGTTTTCATTGGCTGCCTTTTGCATGATTTTCTTTCCGACGTTCTACCAGTTATAAAGTTTATTTCGATTTGAAAATTAAAATGTGACAGAACTGGCAGTATCCAGTACCATGAATTAAATGAGCATGCAATATAAACGGAAAGTCTGAATTATATAGGAAGTAATTTCAAAGGGAGGGGGTAGGCACATAAAAAAAATAGTACCCCGCACCCGATATCTCCTATATTCATGGGGAAAAAAAGAGATGCACAAAGGAATAACACAAGAGTAAAAGAGGAAAAGGCTTTAATGTTTAAAAAATATGGACAATAGAAATATAATTAGCCTTAAAATTATCAACTTCATGAGTTATCAGATTTAAATGAAGGTACAGTAGGTAATGTATGATTAAGAGTGATAACAAGAAGAGACGATGCTCTATGTTATAGCTGAGATAATACATTCGGAACTTATTCCCTTTATCAATATTTTACCTCCGTAAACAGCCGATGCAGTACAGATGATATACAGTCTCTTCTTCAACCTTTGATCACCGGGCGGTAATTAGATTACAAAATGGAGGTCCACCATATGTCCTGGTTAAGGTACGGATTTTATTTTCTGTTCTCCATTGCGGAAATATACTAGTATTATATTTTTGCTATAAAATTTTCTATTGTTGCTATACATTTTATCTATTTGTCTTGAATTTATTTAAATATTACAATGCTGTCCTTAGGGAAATTTAAGTGTAACGTGATTTCATTTTAAAAACTCTGTTTTCATAAATTGATTATAGTATCAAAGATATTGGTTATATAATTATATCCATTGCTATGCCTTAAATATTTAAATTAAATGTTCAATATATTTTCTAATTTCTCATTAATCATACAGTTACATATAATGACGTCTAAAAAATGAACATGTTATTTTATGTAAAAGGTCGCAGGCCGCTGTTGATCATTATAAATGCTTTGAAATAATCACATTCTACATGGAGCTATGTTAATTGGTAATCCCTAACCCCAAGTTCGCAAAAATTACCTGCGTCAAGTGCAAGGTGCACGGGGAGGGGGGGGGGGCTAACCAGACCCGAAAATCCTACATATCAGAACGAGAGCCTATTCCTCACCTATTGGCACGCTTTTGGAACTTTCCAGTGTTCCGCTTGTTTAGCAAGAAAAAAGTTGAGGCGGGGATGGGTATCCATATGAACATTTGCAGCAAAATTAGATTACATTCATTAAATGGAGACGACCATTTTCCACGTAATTTAGGGACCTGCTTACCCACAAATTTACACCCTTTTGAAATACGAATTACCAAATTATACACACCCCCCCCCAACAAACCATGCAGCAAAACTTACCCTGCGAACATTGACTCAATGATTCTACAGTACTTTCAAAGTCTGATTTAATGCTTAATATCATCAGCCATTTCTGATTTTTTTCTATGTAATATGATTTTATTTCATTTCGATAATACATATCTCTGCAGGTAATGCCTTACAAAACATATACATGTACACTCCATCACATCAAAATCTTTTGGGCAGGCTAATGATATCACTCCGTGGGACCAATTGGTGTTTGATAATGAACTTTTTATATATTCATTTTAGAATTTTTCTCAATTCATATTTTAACGAATTTATTTTTGATATTCACATCAAACATTGGCAGATAACATTTAAATTGTTCAGAGAGAGCATGACCTGATAACATACTGATAACACACGACATTGTTTGATGACCGGGTACAACCAGCTTTCTAGTGGCGGATATAACATTCATATTGTACTTAACAGGCACATAGCATCCCGAAAGCAGGAAGCGCCCCTGTCCAAAAAATCTGACGTTTTCAAGGCCTTTTTTACGATTTCGATATTTTTCGAAGTTTTCCTGGCATGTAAAATATCACAATCGTAAAAAGCCAGGAAAACGTCAGATTTTTCGGACTAAAGCGTCCCCCCCCCCCTTTTCGAACATTCCTTTTTACTATTTAGTTTTTTTACTGTTGAAAAGCGGAATGTCCCCTAACTTTTTGTAGCATTAAAGAGGGGTCAGGGTAATGTGTTTCGCATGAATAAAGTTGGAATCCCCCCCCCCCTTCACTCCAAATATAGTAATGGACTTTTGTTTTAATTGCTACAAGTTTAAGTTTTGGTTTGTCAGCCTTTATTTAGTTAAATGTCTTTTTTCCCTTCAAAACCCACATAATTACATATATATATATGAATATTGAAAACAAGATCGTAAGCTATCAGAGTGACATACCGTTTTTTTTTTAAATTTCCAGATTATTTTGTTTCAATTGAAGCAAGAAAGTACTCATCAGACTTATCCAGTTCTGAAGTAATTTTTTACCCTTTATTTTGATACAGGTTTGGGACTTTATTAATATTAGGCCTTACATCACATGTATCTGCTGATCTCCCTAAACACGGACTGGACACGAGTGTGTGTAACCCAGCATCATTATCAAACGGAGGTTAGTAGAGATTTAGTACAACTCTCTGTCATCCTTGGACTTTCAACGAGGCGTGGCATTCTAGAAGCTACGTAATTAGCGAGTTTCAAATTCTCGTTGGTTGAGAAATTTGAAATAACTTGTGACATCAGCAACTTAAATTGTTGCTGACAACAATGAGATGACTAAAATCCAATCCTTTTACCGTACGGAACGTTGTAATTGTGTCCGTGCTACACTCCTTGACATTCGCCCGAATTTCAGACGCTAATTATGTAACCTCGAGAATGCTTCGCCTTACTAAAAGTCCAAGGATAACTGAGAATTGTACTATTGTATCTGTATGATTTGTATTATATTAAAAAAAACTAATACTCAATCTATATATTTTACAACCAATGAAAAAAGTATATAAATACACTGTTTGCAGATTCAATATTTTTAGGTTTACTAGTTAAAGAACAATGAAATTCCTTTAAATCTCCCCCAACAGATTTAATCTGTTTGCAAGAAATCTTGCCACAAACAGACTAAGCTAAGGACCATTATTCCATCTATTGTTGAAACATAATTGCAAATGCCACTTTTCTCTTCTTTTGTTATAAATACAAACCAGTAGAGCTACAGTCTCATCAGAGATTTATGGGGAATGCATAGTGTCAAGGCTGATATTCAATTTCTTTCAAAAGTTATTTTAAAGGGCTACTGTAAATGAACTTTTATTCTCGTGCGAGAAATATGTTACGAGTTCCGCGGCCTACATCTTCTCATCTTCTTTAACTCGCTATATAAATAGTGCTCAGCGAACCATATTCATTTGGCTAAGCATTATTAGAAAATGTTTCCTCAGTCGCGGAAATAAATCGTCAAACGGATTTATTTCAAACTGATGAATCGCATCACTCGTAAAAGATAAGTTAAACGCAATAATAGTTGGTTTACAGTATATTTTGTATGAATGAAACTTTTTTCATATTCTTGCACAATTATAACACAGTTAAAATTGCGTTTAAATGCTCGAAGAACTATTTTGCAATCAAAGATATCCTCTCTCAAGAGCAGGAGAAATTTATTTTCATCAATAATTACATGTAAATGTGTTACAACTGGGCTTAAAAATCTGTAAGACAAATTCCTATTAATACATGTACATGTATACTTTATTACATGTATAACATTGTAATATCCTTAATGTTGTGCTGTTGATACATGTATACTTTATTACATGTATAACATTGTAATATCCTTAATGTTGTGCTGTTGATACATGTATACTTTATTACATGTATAACATTGTTATATCCTTAATGTTGTGCTGTTGATACATGTATACTTTATTACATGTATAACATTGTTATATCCTTAATGTTGTGCTGTTGATACATGTATACTTTATTACATGTATAACATTGTTATATCCTTAATGTTGTGCTGTTGATACATGTATACTTTATTACATGTATAACATTGTTATATCCTTAATGTTGTGCTGTTGATACATGTATACTTTATTACATGTATAACATTGTTATATCCTTAATGTTGTGCTGTTGATACATGTATACTTTATTACATGTATAACATTGTTATATCCTTAATTCTGTTGTGCATGGATCTATCATAACTTACAGGGCTTGTCTCAAAACCTACACTGCCAAACAAGTACAGTGTAAAAGTAGAGTGTAACTTCGCCGATAAGAGTCAGTCTATTGATATCTCCGAGTACTATGATTACCCAAACCAGAGGGCTACCGTCTACGAGGAGGAGTTAGGTCTACACGTTCAGGGCATCTACTCGTATAATACTAACGAACTCTTCACGATAGAAGACCAACTCAGTAAGTACTCATATAATACTAACGAACTCTTCATCATAGAAGGTCAACTCAGACCTTTTTATAAATATCGCTTTGCAATGATAAACCAACAAGAGTAGCACCTTGGATAAATTACATTATAACGAGAAATCTAAACATTCAATTGTTTTAAACCTCTTTTAAGTAAAATCTCTGTTGATAATTGATTTTTCCCTCCAGATACTTGCAGCGTTTCACAGTTATCCACGGATTCCGCCGACAACTGGCTGTTTGGTTACAAAACAGGCAGCACTAATCCGAATGTCCCAAAAATGTTCAGCGCCTACGGCGCGCTTCATTTTGGCGGGAACCAGACTGAACAGTACATGGGTACCACCGTTGTGCGTGGGATGCGGGTTGACCAATGGAAGTCCTGTCTGTACTGGCCAAACATGGACGCGACCATGACGGTTAACTGGTACTTTACAGGTAAAAAAAAAAACGAGGCTCTGACGTCATAGTAGTTTAAATATATGAGCTGTTCTCCTTTTAGTTTATTTTATTTGTATATAAAAGAATTACAGCCTGGATTTGGATTGACAATCGGAAATATTTTTTTTTAGTTATCGAATTTTTAAAGTTTTTTGGCTCTTGCAATGCTTTCATGTTTGTATTTGTAGAATCTTTTCTTGTTGTTGTTTCAGAAGAATATGATATTGATTTATCATGTTTTGTAGTATCCGGTTGGAACACTGCGATTCAATCCCAGATCCCTGTCCGTGCTACAGTGATTGGCAACATCTGGGAGCCCAACCCGCAGAACACCGCGCGCGTGGCTCGGGCATTTAACCACACCTACGAGTTTGCAGAGTTCCGGAGTCAGTTCCCTGACTATGTGGACCTTTCAAGAGTGTTCGAGGTTCGTTACCAAAAAACACAGATCATTTGTCATCTTTTTACTCAGCACAAGTTTTAATGAAGATATTAAGAAAGTGAGGGTAAATGAAGTCGTTTAGCTTCCTTCGGGAGACTAAATACTATTTTTTTTTTGCGTTCTAATTTTGACTTCAGACTTTAACCTGAATTAACAACATAACTACCGAAAATGGCCGAAATAACACCGAAAGTCATCGAAAAATGAGTTTGTTTATGTAGTTTCTATTATTTTGCCTATTTTTTCTGTCGTGTACAAAAAAATCTGAAGACAGTACTTTCGACGTCCGTTGCATTTAAAGAAACTTTGGTAAAGTTTTATTTTTTAATTTCAATAATCTCAAAGCTATCATCAAAAATTGCCTTTGGAAACCTAGCTAAATATATCATATTTGGTTTCAAACAACCAAGGGATTTTAAATTCTTTTAAATGTAAAGTGAAAATGGCTTTAAGTAATGATGTAAACCGCATGTCAAGATGTGTTATCCATTAGTATTAATTTCTTCTATGTATATTTTAGACACCATCAGGAGTCCTATGCCCGGGCAGAAAAGACGTCAAACCCGTCCCGACACCCTCCAACTACTTCCGGTTTACTTCTGAAATCCTGAACCCGGGTCAGAAAACAATTGGATTTATCAAAGTAAGCAAAGATTAAAAACTCATAAAAACAGCTCTTAATTCATACAAAATATAACTGCCTTTTATATATTAAAAGATACAATTAGACAAATTATATGATGATAACTAAGAACTCGATAAAGTGTAGAAATTATTATTCTGTAGGAATGGTATGATTTCAACATGAGCTTAGTGCGATATGACTACAAGCCAGACCCTTTAACCTTTAACCCCTATGGTCTGGACACCTTATCTGAGGTGCATGATTGGAACGAAGGTGAGGTCAGGGGTCATATCTTCATTGTAAAGCAAATAAAGTCTGTTGTAATTTTTTGGTGTTTCTTATGTTTATATTATCCCGCCCATCTAGGCGTGGCCTACAGAATGGACAAGGTGCGCGGTAACTGTACAGTCACTGTCATAGCTCCCACAGACTTTGACGCCCATGGCCTTGACGCCACAACCGTCAGAATACGTACAGCAAAGGAATTCTTCTACTTCGACAAAACGCAATACGCGTACGAAGGCATTGTAAGAAAACTATACTTACATCACTGCAATACACTAGAGTGAAAAGATTAATGGGCAAGACCAATTCTATGTGGATTCATTCATATTCAAAGAAAGAAAGTTTTTCTGATAATATGAAACTACAAATACTAACACAAAAAGATTGCTGTTTTCTCCAAAATCTACCATTATCAAGCTTAACATTCCAAATTCCACTCAACCTGAGAACTTCGTGAGCAATTGGAACAGTACTATAGAACGTAATATTTTAATACCCTTTCTCTGAGTCGATGTGAAATGGCCCACTTGTTGAGATGAAGTTTATTTAAATTTCAGAAAAAGGCACGTGGTATAGACTGTGACGTATGGATAGCTAAGAGAAGTGATTGGCCAGCCAACGGACCCGTCAACAGCACGTGGGAGTGGTATTTTGCTGTGGTGCGTTCTGATTGGTCTCTTCTGTAGAAATCTCTTCACTTAAACCTTTTACAATAAAACATATTTATATTTTTTTATATTTTGCTTTGAAGAGGTACAAAAATTGATATTGTCCTCTACTAAGAATGGAACCATTCATAATACAGTATACTTAACTTAGGGCTGTCTGTTACATTACCTTTCTGTTTCTGTGTCTGTCTGTCCGTTTGTCTCTATATTTTCTTTTATTCTTATGAACATGTAACAAAAATTAATAAGGGTAACATGTAACAAAAATATTTATAATAGAGTAATTTTATCTGGGGTATTTGTGATTTTATTTTTAGAATGACTGGGTACAGAGTACTGGCCATACATATGACTTTGGAATGCCCATACAGATGAAACTAACTACTGATACTGTAAGTCTACCTTCAGCTATAAATTCTTTTTTCTGAAAATACCATTTTATTTTTTTCAGATTTTTTATGCGAGCTATATTTATTTTGACTTAAGGAGGCTGGGGTGTTAACAAATTAACCATCAGATATAACTATATTATGTTAGATACTATATCTAAAGTGACAACTATCATTTGGCCAAAAAAAAAATAAAACTTTTCATTTAGTTTTAAAATTTCATCATTTTTGTAAATGTTTATATTTATATGAAGCTCTTCTTCTAAAGGAGAAAAAAATAGTCTGAAAATGGCCACAACCACCCATTCCTCTTAAATAGATTTTTTAATTTTATATTGTCAGATACAAAAATAAATGCTCGAAGGTTGATATGCATACAGTAAAATCCAAGTAATTCTACGATACAACATCCAAAAATACTTATAACTATTAAACGTTAATTTTTGTTGTTGATGATCTCCCTAAATATGGTGTAGAAAAGAAAGTGAAAGAAAACTATAGAAATTTTGAGTTGTTTTGAAAGAAAACTGTATTTTTTATAAAATGTTTCAATGTTTGCTTTAATAGCATTGTTTCCTCTTTGTGAATTATAGATATCCTTTATTTACAACATGTACGACTATGATGAAGAACAACCTAGCATTTTTGACTTCGACATATCTACCTGCTTTAACTACACGGAGAAGAGAGATTTTACCTTCAAATTAGACGGTAAATCCATAGTCAGAATACAGCTGTTACAATCATTCAAATTCTAATAGCAATTCTCTGCCAAAGCAAAAAACAATATCCTTTTATATTCGTTTAATCCCTTCGTGTTTGACTTTTTTCATCGCAGAAAATTCTCCGACTTTTCAGATTTTGATAAATGAAACATTTAGTTTTGTTGTATTAATTTTTTTTGTTTGTCGAAATAAGATTTAGCTTTCAATTCCATTTGTATCCTACAGCTATTTATCAGAACACGGTTGGAAAGAACTTACAGCTGTTTAAGTACGAGACTCTTTTAACCGTTCACAAATGGACAAATCTCTCTCCACTCAGAATCCAGAACATAAAGGTACGGTTTTCAGAAACATCTCAAGTAAAAATCCATTTCATCCTCAAATTTGATTCCTTTAAAGTTAGTTTTATAAATGTTTGATTGAAAGTTTCCTATTCTGGACATAAAGTATTCGTTGTCTCATCCGATGTTATTAGGTGGATTACGACACGACCCACGTGATTGTGACGTTGACAATCCTAGGTGGAAATCCAATTCAGGGTGACGTCGCTAATCCCAAGGCGCAGGTAGATCTGGACCAGGCAGCCACCATGTTAAATGCTGCTATAAATAGAGGAGACTTCCAAATACCCGTAGACATCACAAATATAGCAAATGTAAGTGACTTAAAAACCAGACGTGTTTTAAAGATTATCGTACTTTTGAAGTCACTGTCTTTAATTATTTTTCATTCCTTTTTCTACAAGTTGAGATAAAGGAGATGAAACTGTTTACTGCAACTTTTAGTCAACTGTATGATGACTGAAAGGTCTGGAAGGATGACTGATGGGTGGAACATTGTCATTCATCCACCTCTCAGTAATCCTTGAGTCACCTCAGTGATCCTTTAGTCACCGATCCTTCAGTCACCTTTTAGTGATTCTTTAGTCGCCTATCACTGATCCTTTAGTCACTAATTCTTCAGTCACCTTTCAGTGATCCTTTCACCTTTCAGTAATTCTTCAGTCACCTTTCAGTGATCCTTTAGTCACCGATCCTTCAGGCACCTTTCCGTGATCCGTCAGTCACCTTTCAGTAATCCTTTAGTCACTATCAGTGATCCTTCAGTCACCTTTCAGAAATCCTTTAGTCACTATCAGTGATCCTTCAGTCACCTTTCAGTAATCCTTCAGTCGCCTTTCAGTAATCCTTCAATCACCTTTCAGTAATACTTCAGTCACCTTTCAGGAATCCTTCAGTCATCTTTCATTTAACACGATGGCTTTTCTTTGATGACATTTGTTGAAGTTTCCAAAAGCATTATTATTTCATTCAGTCATATATGTATCAGAGACATATTTTGTTGCAGCCAATTATTTTAAGAGCATCTCCGTATACACTGAGCTCAAGTCAGCACCAGAACATAGCTGAATATTACGTGGCCCCTCCTCCTTCAAAAACCACATACACAGCAGGTGAGAAACCTTAAAGTTTGTATCTGCGTTGTTCTGTTAGCCCGTTCAGAACTGCTCTTTTTTCTGTCAAAATCCATAGGTAAGTCTAACCAAATACATGTTCATATATGTCTACGTTTGTAACTAGCTGCAGATCTGTAGCTCTCCGAAAAAAATGCAGACCGGAGAGCTACAGTGACACCTATTGAATAAACTGTATATTCATTGCGCACAAAAAAGCTGTTTCTCGATTTATTTCTCCATGATTTTAAAACTGTCATCTCAAAATATTATTAAGGTTCTGTTCCTTATATATTTTATTTTGCGCAATAAATATACAGTTTTTTCAATGGGTGGAACTGTAGCTCTCCGATCATTTTTTTTTTTCGGAAAGCTACAGTTCTGCAGCTACCTTTGTAACATACTTTTATATGCCATATCTGCAAACGGTTTTGAAATATCTTGAACTTGATCTAAAGCTTTATTTTTTTGACGTTGATTAATTTAGTTTTAAAAAATACTAGAATAAGTCCAATCAATTTCTAGCTTAATATAATTCAAAATATTTATGGTGATATAATAGTGTCTAAATCATTAACTGTTTTAGGTCAAATGGCGGGGCTCGGGATCGGGATGCTGGTGTTCGCCTTTATTCTGGTGTTTGTCGCTCTCGCTGTTTATTTCAAGAAATTCAGATCTTCATCAAGTCCAGCAACAGGTTCATTGGAAAATCCTTCATACAATAAAGAGTAAAAATAAATATGACGTCATCATTACATCATTTCCGATTCCTTTTATCCATGATGTGGATCTGGTATCACATTACTAGGGAAAATAAGTTGACAATTTATACTTTTTCATCGAAATAAAAAGACATTTATTAATGTTGATTGCAGGTGAATAAAGTAACATTTTGGTCAACTTCAGTGACTATTCACTGTATTTACATGTACATTGTATATGCAGTATTTGGTATAAGTTTTGTAATGGATTAATTGCTCATTTACCATTCTTTATAGTTCCGATGGTGACGTTTAGTGAGGTTATTTTAAATTAATTGAATAATTTTATTTGACATGTATATTTATTGTCGTTCTTTATTTACGATGTGAATAAAAAGGAAACCTCAAACTTTGCTCTCTTATAAAAGATATCAAAGCATCATCACATTTCCAAATTCATAATACTTTAATCCCTTTCAAAAACTCGGTCTTTAAGGACAGACGAGACGTTCCTCAATAATATATAATTTTTTCCCGGATTTTGTTATTGAAGAACTATTGCTGTCATGAGACAGTAATACCCGCACTAGGGTGTTTGCCTCTAAATGCACACTCCTTCAAATTGGGCTTTACCAGGGAAAAAGTCAATATAATTCAATAATTTACATGATACATGTAGCATAATATGCTCAGGTGACTATCTGACCCATGGGCCTCGATCTTATAGGTATTTCATATTCTTAATTCATTACCAGTCTGAAATTAAACAACAGAATTTAATTAATGATGTAAATTAGGTTTGATAAAGGGGGGATATAAATTTTTGGCCCATAATTGGAACTTTTTAAATCTATTTATTCTTATATAGATCAACAACAAATAATATTATTCATATTAGTGTAAAGCGTTTTTGATGAATTTTTCAAAATTTGCAAACTTTTTTCATATTTGATTAGGCAGAAATTCCTTGAAAGCGGTCATATACCCAATCAATTTTGTCACCACCCCCCTCTCCCATCAACACACAAATAAACACACCCTATTTGCCAGTTTTTGGAAATAGGCCTAGATGGCAAAGTTAAGATAAAACATCTTTTGTAAATGATAATTTTAAATTTGTTCTTGCACTATACATGTATCTGAACACCTGCATCACATTGGTCTTGCGTCACGTACCAAACTTAAGTACTAGTTTTACCATTATCATTTTTAGATTGCATTGCACGTGCAGTGTGATATACACATCATTGCATGTATGTCAGTAGGAATTATTTCATTTTGTGTTTTAAATGGATTATATTTCATGAAGTTGACAGGACCTATGACAGTCGGTAAGTACAAGTTTTAGTATAGATATGGGTAAAATAGTCTGAAATGCAAATGGTTAGGTTAAAGTTTAAAGGATCAAAGGTCATCCGATGCTACAACAGACGAATTTCACATTCTGAAGAGTTATCCCCCGTTATCGACGTTACATTCAGTTACAAGATCCAGAATTTTTTTTCTGGGAGGGAGGGGGGATTTCCAGACAAGAATTTCCTGAGAAGCAAAAAAACAAAAGAAGTTATGGTGGGGTCTGTTTTCTAGGGTGGAGAGCATCCAAAGTCCTTTTTATTTGCCTCAGTATATATTATAGTCCTGCAAATTCCGGGGGGGGGGTGCGATCTCCCAATCCACTCCCTGTCCCTGTAATGACAAATGATCATGTGACTCCTAAATAGTAGGAAACTTTTTCCATTTGACTATACATAATTTTGTTTCTTGTGTTATTATGTTATGTAAATTTAATGGTATAAGGTTAAGAACCCCTGGAGGTCATCCCCACTATCTTCTAATGAACTGGAAATGTTCACAATATGACTGCATTGAATTAAATAAAAGTGCATCAATGATAAGATTGCTTGACATTTTATTCATGAATTTGTGTCAACCTATTTGTATATATTAACATTTTTTTTAAATGTAAAAACAAGTAGTAGTTTGCATACATGAACACAAACAGGGGTCTGGGAAGGGGTAAGGGGAAGGATCGAGTTGATATCTCTTTGCGTCTTAATGGTTGAAAACTCCTAAAATGAATGTTGACCTCAAATCTGACTTGTCCTCATTATTGTTCAAGTGATGGTGTCTCCATATAAGTGAAAAATTCCTGAGAGGGATGTTCAACAAACAAACAAATGACATATAAAAACACAATATTGATTTGCGTTAAGAAATATGCAGGGGATATTTCCATCATAAATCTTCTTCTCAAGAACAGCAAGGGCGTTATTGTCCCCCGTTTTTGGGAAAGGGAGGGGACATTAAATCTCATTTGTCTGTCAGTCTGCTCATCTTATTGACAGTATGTGCATCTGTCACAATAAATTTAACCTTGGTCATAACTTTTGAATAATAAGAGATTGGGCTTTCATATTTCACATGTACATTACTACAAAACTTTCTAAATATAATATGATTTTTTAACCCAAGTGAGACCTTGACCTTAAAGTTTTACCTACTTTCCAAAAAATAACATTTTAAATTGATCATTTTGAAAGAGAAAAGATAGGGCATTCAAATTAAACATGTATATTACTTGTGAAAAAACTTGTCTAAATACATCCTGACCTAGAAGTTTAACCTACTTTTCAAAAATATTATATTATATATATAACTTTTGATTGAAAAGAGATAGGACTTTCATATTTGACATGTACATTAACTGCAACAAAATGTTTCCGAGCATGCTATGATTTTTCCCCTTTGACCTAATTTTCAAAAACTGACATATGATAGGGGTGCATATTTGACACACAATCTGCCATAAATTATGGCATCCCATTCACTAAAACACAGAAAGTAGAGGACCACAATTCTTTGAATTTGCTTGTATAATCTTGATATGGAAACATCCTCATATAATGTACATTCAAGTTTTTTATGCCACGCCATGATTAGGAATACATGTATAGTTTTTGTCATGTCCGTCCTCCACCCTTCCATCTGTCTTTCCATCGATATCGGGCTCAAAGAAACTTTCTAGATATTTTTATCAAAGTTCATATGTTGATGCATACTGATGTAAACTATCCAAATGCAGCAATATTTTTTTACTTTGACTTTTCCTTTGACCTTCACTTAACTTTTCTTTGAATTAGTGTTTAGCTTTATTTTAAAGAAACCAGTCAATTTGTGAAATGAAACTTCACATGATGATACATACTGATGTAAGCTTTACAATGCTTCACTCTTTTTTACCTTGACCTTTCCTGTGACCTTGACCTCGCTTTTCTAAAATTAATGTCTAGATCAGTTTTGAAGAAACAATTCAAGATATATTGATCAAACTTCATATGCTGATACATACTGCTGAGAGCTATTAATGTATCAACTTATTTTGACCTTGAATTTTCCTTTGACCTTGATCTCACTTTTTAAAATATGTGTTTATCTAAGTTTCAAATAAACCATTAATTATATTTTTGTCAAACTTCATAAGCTAATAGTAAATTCATACTGATGTAAGCTTTTCAACTGCAACAACATTTTGACCCACCCCAAAAACTTCACCTTGCACATTCCAGTGACCTTTCCCTCCTCTTTAATTTGTATTTTGCTTAGTTTTAAAGAAATAATTTAAGACATTTTTATGCTTAGCATGCACTTATACATAATTTGGTGTGAATTTATTATCTATATCCAATTTATTTAGATTTTAGTTTCAACCTTTCCTTTGACCTCTCTTTTCTTAAAAAAAAGTGTTAACTCAGTTTCATTAAATCATTCAAGATATTTTTGTCAAACATAATATGCTGATATGTATTAGTGAGAGCTATTCAACTGGATCAAAAACTTCACCTTGCACGTTCCAGTGACCTTGACCTCCCTCCTACTTACCTTTTAAAAAATCAAGACCAATAAATATAGTTTGGTTTCTGGATAATCGTAACTTGGCTAACAATGCTGATAAACAAGGTACAAATAAAACAAGCCTGACCTGAAGAGAAGATACTACTATGTGTGATAGTAGTCACAACAAAGAAAAATAATGGATCTACAGAAAGAAAAAATAGAAATCTACAACCCACAAGGCTTAAAAAAGACTTCTTATTTGGAATGGGCTAATTATAAAATGTTTTTTTTAAGGAAGTAACATCTAAAAGTAGAATGTTCAATGTTGTCATGTGAATGTTTAATATTTTCACTTTGTATCCAACGCATGTAGGATTAATAATTTAGGGAAGTGTAGACAATTTTCTTTAAACCATAATTAAATCACATTAATTAGATTTATTTTAGCAATTATTTTTGTGAAACTATGGATAAAAATCTAATGAGCTTACAATTTGAAGTAGATTAGAATATTTGGACTTGCTAAATGTGCCGATTTTAACGAGTGAAGGCAAGTGTTTTGCATAATCCCTGAACAAAGTATTTAGTTTGTTTTAACCGTTCAAGAAACATTCTTTCTTGTATTAACTGGTTTAATATCAAATTTAAAAAAAAAGAGAAGACTTCAAGTTTTCGCCGCAAAGTTTTAATACAATTATAAACTATTCAGAATAAGAATAAATAAGATCATTTATAGAAAATAATAATGTGTTTTGTAAAAAAGCACAAAGGTTTTATCAAAACTTTGGCAAGATACCTGAGGCAGTATGTCTATACAGTCTGTGTAAGAACAAAATACTGCACAAAACGGATGCACCACTTAATAGGTCCGTAATTCTTATATTAATCAAAGTATAGTCCATAGATCATGGCCACTGCAAAAATGGACGAGTTGGAATATTTAACACTAACGAAATTGTCCGTGTTTTTATTCCATAAACATCGACTTCCGAACTGCATACCTGGTTTTTCCTTCAGTGAGCCGATGCTTACATTTGTGACGATTTTATATCGCTTAAATCCCATTTGTTTAACTCTATCTAAAATATCCACGGCCACAGTTTGACTGACGTCCCGACATTTGACGGGGTCATACTCAATCTTAGCTAAATGTTCCGCTAACACAGCTTCAGCAAGCTTCTCCACATCACACACCCGGAAAACTTTATCCTCATCCGGTTCTAGTTTATAGGTATTTTCCATCCGGTATGCTTTTCGCGGCATGTCGTTCGATCTATCGCCTATGGAGGTAATTTCCAGCGCTGCCCCGGGATCGGCTATAGGACCAGATCCTGACTTGAAACCATGCGCAAACCTGGCCCCTGCAATTGACCCCCGAACTCTTTTTCCAGGGGTAGTGGCGTCACTTCGTGGATAGTTAGAATACCTGCGGGACATCTCTGCAGTCTTCTTTATCTTCCTTTTTATTGATAAGATGTACTCCTTTTACCGCGGATGGGTTACTATCTCCTGAGAAAGATCGAAGTTCAAAACACTTAAGTAGTTGTAGTATTCTAAACTAAATGGTTAAACAGTGTAGACTGTCGAGTCGCCAGGTTTGTTTATAAAGCAAACTGAGTTTCGCTAGTGCATACAACAGCTTCGAGACGCTCTCGGTTAAATCGCTTTAATTTGAATTGAATACACATAAATGTCCATTATGAGCAACTCCAGATCTTTCATTGACTATTTAGATTTCTAATGTCGGAAAGTAATTATGAATAACAAAACACCTGTTTCCAAGTTAAATAAAACTTAGCTTTAATTATATTAAATGCCCGGAAACTGTGGCATATTTCTCATAGAATTCACGTAGAAAATTCCACATCTACGGGAAAATGGGTTCCAACAATGTCTATAGCAATCGGAAAATATTCGCTCCAAAATAGACCGGATAGGACGTACTGGTTAGAAAACGATTCCACTCTGCTGTTTTTCTCTTCACTAGTTTTTTTTCTTTCACTGAAGTAAAATGAATTAACCCTTGGACGTTCCAATTTTCCCCGACCCCTCTTCCTTCTAGACCATAAATCCGACATGGCTCTTTCATCAAAGATTAATCTTAATATTTCTTAATCCTTTAGTAGCCATATTTTTTTCACTTCTAATATCAAATGCTTTAAAACAACAAATCGGCTTTACATGTCGCGAGTGTTTTAATTCCTCATTAAAAAATCCATACCCCGATTTTTCAAAGGTTATTAAATTTCTTCACGGATCATTCAATATCGCTCGATATTAAATGCAATCATAACTAAATGCACAGTACAGGACTTTAAAATGCATTCATTGTTACGAATGGCGTTATTCATTTGAGATAAATACTGGACCGCTCTAGATCTACCAAATCGCGAAATCAATCTATAGCGAGATTTAGGGTATTCATATACATTAACCTGATAGCTAAACACTGATATGAAATATTTATATCTTGATTTATCAAATATAGATGTCAGAAGTTGCTAGGAATTAGTTTTTGCTCGTTTATATATAAGTTTTTTATATCTTAATAATTATTGATATGTGACAAAATAATTATCATAGTATTGATTATAAATTAAATATTTTAATAATTTTCATTTTTATGTAATTTTGTAAACCCTATCTCAAGATTGGTTAAGGAAATACCATTCCTCATAATAATAATAATGATAATTTTAACAAAAAAGTGTTTTAAAATCACATGGGTTTTTTTACTAATTAATTATTTAAAATAGTTTTTAATTTTTTTTTCAGTTTGTTTATGCCTTAAAGGAATTAACTAAGCACCACCTAAATTTTACACTCTTAACATATTGAAAAAAAACTATTGACAATATAGCCAAATTTGGACTGACAGAAAATTATTTCGTTAAAGGTATTGCTCGTGTATGTATACATTTTCAACGTAACTAGCAACTTTTTAAAAAACAAATTAGTGAAATTACACAATACTTTTAGATGCTCTCAGAAAATTAATCAGCATTCATTTTCAGGAGTTTTAAAAAGAAATCAAATGTATTTGTTTATATAAAAAAAATAAAGATATATATAGTTAAAGAATACGTCGTCAACATTATGAGACAGTATAAAAGTCTCAAAAAGTTTGTTCAGTTATTGGAATTCTAAACTAATATAGACAAGAGGCCCAGGGGCCACAGCACTCACCTGAGCACATCGGCTAGGAAAAAGCACATATCAGATCAGAACTGAAAGTTTACTGAAGGGGGGTGGGGGGTTAAGTTTTTAACACCCCCCCCCCCAAGGGGTTCATGATTTGAACAAACTAGAATCTACACTACCTGAGGATGATTCCATATAAATATCACTAATCATGGCTCTGAAGTACATGAAAAGAAGATTTTAAAAGGTATCCCTATATATCCCTATGTAAAACTTGGGTCGGCCATTTTGGCCCCACCCTAGTCCCTGGGGTCATGATTTGAACAAATTTGAATCTACACTACCTGAGGATGATCCACATGAGTTTCATCTTTCCTGGCCCAGTGGTTCTTGAGAAGAAGATTTTTAAATATTTTTCCTATATATTCCTATGTAAAACTTTGATCTGCCATTTTGTCCCCACCCTAGCCCTGGGGGTTATGATTTGAAGAAACTTGAATCTACACTACCTGTGGATAATTCCACATGAGTTTCATCTTTCCTGGTCCAGTGGTTCTTGAGAAGAAGGTTTTTAAAGATTTTTCCTATATATTCCTATGTAAAACTTTGATCGGCCATTTTGGCCCCACCCTAGCCCTGGGGGTCATGATTTGAACAAACTTAAATCTACACTATCTGAGGATATTTCCACATGAGTTTTATCTTTCCTGGCCCAGTGGTTCTCGAGAAGAAGATTTTTAAAGATTTTTCCTATATGTTCCTATGTAAAACTTGGGTCGGCCATTCTGGCCCCACCCTAGCCCTTGGGGTCATGGTTTGAACAAACTTATATCTACACTACTTGAGGATGATTCCACATGAGTTTTATCTTTCCTGGCCCAGTGGTCCTTGAGAAGAAGATTTTTAAAGATTATACATTCCTAGTGTAAAACTTGGTTCGGCCATTTTGGCCCCACCCTAGCCCCGGGGGTCATGATTTGAACAAACTTGAATCTACACTACCTGTGGATGATTCCACATGAGTTTTATCTTTCCTGGTCCAGTGGTTCTTGAGAAGAAGATTTTTAAAGAGTTTTCCTACATATTCCTATGTAAAACTTGGGTCGGCCATTCTGACCCACCCTTGCCCCGGGGGTCATGATTTGAACAAATTTAAATCTACACTACCTGAGGATGATTCCACATGAGTTTCATATTTCCTGGCCCAGTGGTTCTTGAGAAGAAGATTTTTTAAAAATGCCATTAATTTTTCTCTAATTCATAATTATCTCCCCTTGGAAAAGGGCGTGGCCCTTCAATTGATTAAACTTGAATCCCCTTTACCCAAGGATACTTTGTAGCAAGTTTGGTTGAAATTGGCCCAGTGGTTCTTGAGAAGAAGATGAAAATGTGAAAAGTTTACGACAACGACGACGACAACGACTACGACAACGACAGACAACGGACAAATTTTGATCAGAAAAGCTCACTTGAGCCTTCGGCTCAGGTGAGCTAAAAATGAGAAAATGAAACTCAAAACTACTTTGGGTGTGTCCTGAAGTTTTTACCACTGCACACTTAAAGTTTAAATTCAGGAAAATAATTTTGGCAATTAGAGTGATCTGTCCTTTGATCTGGAATATTATACATACATAATTTTACTGTATATGAGGCAATTTTTACACATATAACGTTACTTTTGTTAGTTGGTACTTGTTGGAGCAGGGAAGGACATAGCCCTTCATTTGAAAAGAATGGAAAGCTTACGTAGCATACAAAATTTAGTTTTCCTTTCGCCATTAAGCATGCAGACAGACATGAACCTATGACCGATAAATATCATTTTGCTCAGATGATGCAATTAAACAAAATAGTGAAGTTATATGCAAAACTATATACATTTCCAATGTCTTTGTTCGAGATAAAATTTCAAATTATAAATGTAATTCATTTCCCCATCAGTGTATTGGCGCGGTTCCAAAAAAACCACGTGCAGGGCGGGACAAACAGCTAGTCGAAAGCAGGGCTTGGAGCACGTGGATTGGCGGAATCGAAGGATGTAAATATAAGGAAAAACTGTCAGATTTTTCATTTTCATGACGATGATCAATCGATTGGCTTGCGTGATAATTTTATGCATAAACGCCTTCGACGTTTATGCAAATTATCACGGAAGCCAATCGATTGATCACATCATGAAATCGAAACATAAGATAGTTATTCCTTAAATATGGCTGTAAATGTAATGTTTATGTTGCTAAGTCTTGAAAGAAAGATGATTTTCAATTGGTGAAAATATGGGAGAGGGCGTTTTGCGATTTCTTCATTACTCTTCTCGTAACTGAAAGAATCAAAACAGATAAACATTATGTAGTTTGACTAGATATGGTATATGCATTGTTAACAATTCATCTTTAAGATAACTCCTCTTCCTAAGCACTCTGATTGATAACAGTCACTGTGTCTACTCGAAAAAGAAAAGATAACGCTTTGATTATGTCAAGGTGTCCCGATATGACTTTAAGGCCGGAAAAAAAGATAATCGGCAACGTCTTCTTACCGAATTTGAAAGACTTACATATTGAATCATTAAAAATCGATAGTTCAGTCAAAATGATGATTTTTGTACAGTCATTGTACAGGACAACATTTTCGAACAACAATGAAAATCAGTGTTCATTTTTAACAAAATTGTAATATAATTGGAATTTTATTCCTTCTCGAAAGTATTTTTAAAGACGTAAGCAGCACAATGCAATTTAGTATAGATCATTTCCTATCTTATGTGAAACATGATTTTCTCTTTACATGTACAACTGTAGACTTGCGATTTTGTAATTTTCATAAGGTAGCCTCCATTAGACAAAATATTATATATCTAATTTGATATTCTTTAAAACGTCGAACAATTACATGTATCATGGTCATTTGGTTTGTATATCTACAGTTATACTGTAACAGTAGTTTTCCGTCCATAATATACATGTACCGACCCTTACAAAGGTATATATTTTTTATATAATTTGTATAATTATATATTACAAACGTGCATGTTTTTTATCCCCTACCGCGAATAGAAAAAAATTCCAATGTTTGTTTGGCAGTTGGTGTTGAAATGATGTTAACATGGGCACTTTAAATGATACTCTAAATAGATCTATATACTCTGTATATGCGAGTATTAGTTTAAGGCCACAGTACTGAGTATTTTAACCATATGCAAACATCAGATTTATATATAGGAATCTAGATATGCAGAAATAACACTTAAACATATTCTTGATGTTTTAATCATATTTTAGCAAACACTCGATCTAATTCATGAACAGTTTTAATCAGTCTGGCTCCTTTCGATTTTGGCGCCTTGCTGACGTCAGTGGCTTTGGCGGACGGATGCATAGTAACATTGTGAATTTGAGCATCACTTGGGTATTTTGGCGTTTGTCCAAGGATTTTTAAAATAGCATCCACAGTTGTAAAAAGTTCACTTTCAAATGCATTCATTCGTCTGCAAGAAAAAATAGAATTTTGTTTTATTTCCAATATTTAGTTATGTACGCCTAATTGGTTTTATCTACATGAGTATTTTATATGAAATCTCATTTACATGATAAAGCAATTATGCTCTTTCGGTAAATAAAATGCAGATAAACATACTGTTGAAGAGAAATAAGTTTGTTGTCCATGTCGCTAGTCACGTGACTATAGTCACGATTTTCTCGTTGCTTGGGAACGTCGTAATCGACAGTGATTAACTGAAGACCGGAACTGGAAAGAGATTTTGGCGTGTATGACGTAGCTGTAGATTCTATTGGTGAATTGTGATCACGTGCATCGCCTGATTCTACGTCAGGTAAGCGTTTGTCTGACAGGATTTCGGACTTGATTGCGCCCCACTTTGATTTGGCTGTCATTGCTGGACGTGGTTTGGTTCTAGAAATCTTGTTTATCCTGGACACTGTTGTCACAGCGGAGAAAAAATTCGTCATAGCACCTGTTGTATATTGCAAAAGTATTATATTGAAATAATTAACATGCAAAACATAAGACATGTATTTTTATGCTTCAGAATAATTGTTTTGTTTTTTTTTCTTGTAAAAAATTAGAATTCGCTAAATCTTTTGTCTCTTACTCGTTACAGTACCATTTTAAATTTTTTAACACTTCATCACAAAAATGCACATTACAAATGTTCAAGAGCCTCTTCTTAAGTCATATAAACTTCAAACTTTTTGATCGAGCACACCTGACACCGAAGCAGTGGAATTCTTTCTTTTATGAGTGACATCCTTCTCCTCTATGTCAACACCCTCTGTCGCCTGTTCGGTAGAAAACTCCAGAATACCCACGTGTTCTTCGTCACTTCCGGTTGGATCGTTACTGTTTCGATGTCTGATGTAGCTCTTCCGGTGCCTCATTGTTGGACCAGCTGCCAATGAAAGGTTGAAAAGTTATCTCTTTATACCCAGTAAGTGAAATGGTTTTGAAAAAATTAAATTGTTGTCAGAATTTAGAAGAAGTTAATGATCATAATTCAATTTATCTGTAAAAAAGATTAAAACTTTAAGCGTAAAATACAATCCCCTACTATCTACAGAACGTCCTTTGCACTGCATTCTGGGACGTTTTTGGCGGATAAATTTAAGAGTTTCGTCTTCTATCTTCGATTTATATTTTCTTTCCAGAAGTGTCCCCTGAAAACCAGATATGCCACTATAAAACATTCATATCATACGTTTCCAACAAAACACAGATTTTGTAGTTAAAAAATTAAATCGGAGAACATGAAGATTTAGGAGGATTGTAGACTTTAATTCTGTTATGTTTCTAAATTGATTGCAAATGAATGAATTTTATGGTACAGTTTACTAGTATTTAGTACAGACCTTCTTTAAATCAAAAGTCACGTGAAACTTCTTGATGAACTGTTCGGCGAATTCTGGGTAAGTCTGTAAGACTTCCCTCAGGTCGTCCAATTCTATTTTGTTGATGTCGCAATAAGACAAGGCCCGCACAAAATACAGGGACTGCCCCGCAGTGTCGGAATCCTTCATGTCCGCTCCAAAAATGTCATGTTTTCCTATCAAATTGAATATAGTCCAACTATTGTAATTGAAAATGTCAACGCTTTTAAATTTGCTATATCTAAACATTATTTCATTTCATAATTACATATATTTACCTGTGTATGTTTTAAAATATTTTCTGATTTAAAGGGGATGTCAACCAGAAGGATAAGGATTAGAGTATCACTACATGGCGCATGCGTAGTTTTGAACTTCAGAGATAACGAACATGCATTAATATCTTGAAATACAACTTGGTTTTAATCTTGAAACATACCCAGTATTGCCATTACAGAGTCGTCTTTCATAATTTCCACAGACCCACGGGCCATGAAATAAATGGCTGTCAGAATGTCTCCCGGATGGATAAGTGTATCACCAGGCGGCGCATGCGTGGTTTTGAATTTTAGTGATAATGAACGTAAACAACCTAAAATGCAAATTTAAACAGAAACTGCTGATTAACGTTATTTTTAAAATTACTTTTATCACAATTAATTTTACTTTTTCTTTGTTCAAACTTGAAAACTTAGATTAAATTCGCAAGGTTTTCAGACTGCTTCCTCTCTATGAATATAGAGGATAAATTAACTTTCTATAAATATGAGTACCAGGACTAGCTCCTTTAAAAGCCTGACAGTTGGTCAGCAGATTTTTATTGAGGTGTAGACAGATATCCGACTGGAGACAATCAGGAAATCCCTTCAGAACCTATCAACACAGAAAATAGATCATTAAACAAAAACTGTGTCTTAAATGGCATTTCGTTGATTCTTTTGTCGTTGTAGTAAACCTGTTAAGAAATAAAACTTAATAATATGTAATATTGGGTGTGTTTTCACTGACTTGTACTATTAGTCAGACCCTTATTTTTAGACTGAATTTCAATACTGAATGTACCATCAATCTGATAAATGCAAACGGAGGGTACGACTGGTCAGCAGAGGATGTTTACTCCTCCGAGGCACCTGATCCCACCTCTGGAACTTCAAGGGGTTCGTATTTTATGCCCTCTTAACCGATTTGTATTGTTTATAGATTTCTTGAGATCGATCACTCTTTGTTATGTTTTTCATGGTATATTAACGTTAGTATGTCCATCAGAAACGGATTGAAATATGCTGTATTTTGAAACTTTTTAATTATTAAATGACTTACATTTCCCATGTCCACTCCGTTAGTATACGTCCACGCGTGCTGGAAGGATTCCTGTAGTCTGGTGGCCAGGTTCTTTGGCAAGTGGTGGAAATTGATGAACTCTTTTATGCTGGATACTCGCTCCTGATAGTCGTCTGATCCCTGATACATACGTAACATGATGGAAGAGACGTTACCAAAAATGGCGGCACTCAACAGAGCTGTGAAAGCAAGAGATAACACTGATTTTTGCCAAATGGCAAGGGAAAAACAAAATACCCCAAAAATAAATAAAGACATACATTAAGCCAAAAATAAATACCAAAAGAATTACATTCGAGAACATTTGATTGAGAAATTTGGCAAATCATTCAATGCTAAGTAAAGAACGTTTAATTTGTTTTTAAAAGGATAATAATAATATCTCATTGGCTGCAATGGTCTCTACTTGAAAAAAAAAACAATTTGCAGAAGATCAGTTCGGCAATTTTGTAAAACAACCTATAAGGTACAGAAAAAAATGTATTTGTTTGTTTAAAAGATATAGAGAACGAACAAGAAAAAAAAATTTCAGCCTTTTAACCACGGCTGAACTCCATCTATACGCTTGTTGACATTACAATAAATGTCTGCCATAGTTCCATCAACCCAACGGTTGCATTTGGTGTAGTAATACCAGTAATGTAGTTCTGTAGAAGTTGTAAAAGTCACTTGTGATTGATATGAACTAGCTTAGATTCAGCTTTATGCCATTCGACTGATTGCTAGTCTGAGGCTTCCGATGCTAAGCCTTATCTGTATTTAGATGTATGCGACTTGCACTTACGTATGATTGTTAGGGAAACATGTGAAAGTTGTAAATATGAATCATGTTTAAGGAGGCTCTTACTGAACTATATCTTCTCAAAGAGTGAAAAGTTCTCAAAACAATTTTCCCACTGTATATTTAATGCATACGAATTATACATACAAATCAAACTCGCATAGATGATTGTATACACAGTACCAAAACAAGTAAAGCACTGAAGCTTTTTCATGAGTGTATTTATGTCTTATAATTTTTCATGCGTGGGTTTTCTCAGTTTGGTTGGTTACATAAAATGCTTTAGATGCTGCATTTACAGAAGCATCTTTCTCAGTTCTAGAGTCGGTAAAGTTCAACACTGGGAATCTCATTAACTGTATCGGATACTGATTAAGACTTAGAAAGATCCATTTCTTAAAGAATTTGCAAAGATACCCACGAGAAATCTGACCCAGTATGCTGCATGTTATGCCATGTACTGTCATTGAATGCTTTCTGGGCTATTTGTGCCGAAGAGCATATTATTCAACTAATAAATAATTGTCTAAATCTAAATTTCAGTCCACTTTAACTGTTGGTATAGGAGATCATTTTTTGAAGAATCATTCCTGGAGTCAAAAAGCAGATTACAATGTACAGGTGTTTTATATATGTCATTCCAATTTACTAATTATTCTTTGTGGTCTTCATTCTCATTTTCTCAAACTTTTTTTTACCAAATATAGAATAATTAATACATGTAACAGAAGTTAACTAAAACTATCATAACACGATTGAGCAACTTACAACCAAGCAACATGGCGAATATGCTGAAGATTTTTTCGGCATTCGTGTTTGGCGCCACATTGCCGAATCCAATACTTGTCAAACTGGTGAATGTGAAGTAAAGTGCGGTTATATAACGTGTTTTGATTGGTGGACCACTCATCGTATCATTAGGGAGATATGGCATATTGTAGGCGTCGGCCAAGGAATCCAGCCATCCGATTCGTTCAGGAAGATGTGGGCGCTCCATGTATGCGATTGCGTAGAAGATACAAGCAAGCCAGTGGCCAATCAGTGTAAATGATACCATCAACAACATCAAAACAGCCGCCCCATATGCAGCAAATTGTTCGATCCGCCTCAAAACTCGAAGAAGACGTAAAAGACGGGCGAGCTTGAGGATACCAGTAATGGTCATTCGCTGTAAAAATATTAATAAAACATTTACAATGAGAAGGGGAAATAGGTATACATGTATATCTAACAATTCTAGGAAAAACTAATAGGAGAAAAACAAATTTCGATTATTTAAAAACATGGGGATTTAAAGTTTAAAAGTAAATTTATCAAATTTACAAATTTCTATATATAATCTCAACCTTATAGACAGTAAACTATTATTACATCACTATTTCCTGATCCAAAAAGTAATAGGTCAAAGGGCATAGCTGCCACACAATCGATGATGAACCATCCCTTGATGTAGTTGATGGCGATCTTTTGGGGATCCATAATAACCTCCCCACTATGTAGGTAAGTCGTTCGAAAGTTAATCAAAATATCTGCTATAAACATAATATCCACAATCAAGTCTATTATAACAAAGGGGTCTGTTTTGATTGTTTCCGCGTGTTGAAGTCTCGTAGCAGAATCTCGATGTAGTCTCATCATAGCCTCGTCTTCGTTCAAAATAAAAGCCACGAAGTATGGCGTAAACACAGCGGTATATAACACAAGAAATAACACGATCCAGTCCCATACCGCCTTAAAAGGGGAATAATGAAGGATAAGGAATTTGGCGGGTTCGGGTCGTTGGACTTTTGCTTGACTCTGTATCTGCTGGAATGCTTCGTGTTCTTCGCTTTCGTTGTCTCGCTCACTGAGAGTCTACAGTAAAAATATAAGGATGTACATGTAAGTTTGAGAGCTACTCGACTAAATGGTCAAATAAAAATAATATTGTAATTGACAGAAATCCTGAAAACTGTGCCGAAGTTTGTTAAAAGATACGTATATTTAATTCAACATTGTTTAATAGAAAACTGAAGCGGTAGTCTTTTAAAATTGCGGTGTCTCATACGATAAATATCAATTTTTCAACTCTTTAAGCATTATTTTTTATTTTTAAAATCACAGATAAGAAGCACAAAGTTATATTTAACTTCTTAACTTACGCCATTTTCATCTTGCCAAATACTTTTTTATTTAATGGAGAAATGTTCTATTTTCTCGGGGGGAAAATCAAGAAACAAAGCAATAACGATGCTTAAACACATCTGGAAAATTTCCTTTAATTAACAACATACTCTGTTAGCCTCAGATGTAATATTGGTAAAATACGTGAACTCGTATTTTACCTTTTTATGGTATGAAGAAATTACGAAAACAAACAATCGAGAACAAGAAAATAAACTCAAACACACAAATTCTGAGACTCAGTCGGCAGAGACAAATTTATTGATGATTTTTATCATCTGTCTTCTTTTCTTCTACTAGACATAATAACAGGGATCGCTGTATCACAATGTTTGACATCTTGTAATTTGTGTCCCGTCTCCTTTTCAATTATCCGGAAATCAATATAGGATTGTATTAATCAGAATCAATCGCGTTAAGGATTTCCGTAAGGAATTTAGATTTTCTTCAAGGTCTTTGCATCCGCTTTTTTCCTCGTCCATTTATTAAAAAAACTTTCTTTTTCTTTATGCTTCCTTCAAAACTGTAAACATCCTTTAATATTTTTGAGATCATTGCGTGTTTTTCTAGACAAATTTTGTTTCTGCATTTTGTCAGTTTTTGATGTGCTATTTTCTGCATGTGGAAATTAAAATAATCTAGGCGTTTAACTTGAAACTGAATCACGCAAAAGGGTGATTATATTTCTTTTTATTTGTAAACGAGTTTTGCAAATAAAAGGAAATAATTATAACCATTGAACAAAGATACATGTTGCTGAATCCACTGCAGAATCATTAGGGATGGGATTTTCGGCGCAGAGAAACATTTTATTACCGAAGTCGTGACTTGGTGTGAACTTTCATTAATCAAATCCAAGAAGGCAAACATATAATATTACGTTATAATTGCAGGCTCCATCAATTCTGTAAAATAAGGAGGTTTGCCAAATTTGGCGCATTCTGTCAATGCCTTATGAGAGACAACTGCTTACCGATATTGTCTGGGAACTAGAAGTTTAAGCGGAAGTTTAAGAGCAACATCTAATGGAAAGAGATTCTATTTATATGCAAAGAAAATTAAACGTTTTTCGCATACTTTCCTCTCGTCGCAGTTCTAAAGTATAATTACCACTGCATAAAATCATTGTTCATCAAGAATCCTGCTATAATTCAAAAGAATTTTATAATCAAAGAAAAAAATACACCAACAAGATAAAACAAGAGGCCCAGGGGCCACATCGCTCACCTGAGCAATTGGCTAGAAAAAAGCACATATCAGATCAGAACTTAAAGTTTACTGAGGGCGGGGAGGGGGGAGGGGGCTTGAATTTTAACACCCCA